GGGTTTTTTTTTTTTTTTTTTTTTTTTTTTGTCTTTTTCCGTGTCCGGCAACGGATCGCAACCCTCAGTGTCGCCCCTGTACCGGACCGGGACCGGCAACGGGATCGCAACCCTCGGTGCTGCTCCTGCGCCTCGCTCAGCCAGTGAGCGGGAACCGGTCTGTATGTGGGATCCGAACCCTCGGCGGGAGCGCCGCCGCGCTTCCCAAGCGGCACACTACAGCAGTGCGCCACCGGGCCGGCCCAGGTGGTATCATTTTTGAAAGGACAGTTATTGTCATCTAATAGTATTCCCAGGGTCCCAGAAAATTAAAAACCAATATCTTCTCCATAATTCTGTGAACAAATTTCAATGTCTTGATGATCCAAAGAGAGGTAAATAAATGCAAAAACCATGTTTTACTTAGAAGAGAAAGATCTAAATCACATCTTGGCATACTGAACACTTACTCTGTTAAGGCTGATTCAACATAGGAATTAGGCCCAATGTTATCAAGATTAACTCAAATTTTCAGATACAGTCTCATGGCTAGTGACCCTAAACATCTGTCCAGAGACTAAAATCCTTCTGAAATATACATAAGCCAATGTATCAACTGACCCGTGGTACTTGGCAAAACCCATACTGAGCATCCTAGAAGAATTTTTTAAAAACAGCATATCTGGGATATGCTGGCCACTTTTGACAGTATATATATATATAGACTAAATGCCTTTGATTGTTGACATTAATTTCTACCTACAGATGAACTGAATGATTATATCATAAGATGTCCAAAACTATCTTAATTAGATTCAATAAATAATTTTGCAGTTCTTTTTCTTTTTTAAAAGAATTTACAGTCTTTTAAGTGTGCTTACAAATAAATTTAAGATGAAAAAAGAATAAGTCCCATTTTAGCAATCAGTCTGACACAAGCTGGAATGTCTTCTACTGATAACAACTGTGAAGGGAAACAGAGCGTTTAGAGCTGGGTTTCATCTCTGTCCACTCATGTACCCAACCAAGGTTTCGTGACTTTTTATTTTTGTTGTTTTGACAAGTGAACTATTGTGAAAAATACAAAAGTAAACATATTGCAAAGGAACTGAGAAGATTATTTAAGCAAACATCATAACATTAGTAATTTAATAAAAATGCACTTTGATGAAAAATTGATCCTATTAATGTTATAAAACAGCACAATTTCAACTTTACTTTTTTTTAAATAAAAAATTAGAAAATTCTGATTAAAAGCACTGATGCTTACCATGTTATTTCATTAGTCATATCTCTACCTCATGCTTACATAAAACCTTATGAGTTAAGTAAACAACACTAGCCAATGTCAGAACTAAAATTCAAGTTAAAATTAACTTGGCATGTCATTATTAAAAAGTAAGTTCAAAGTCAAGTACCTCTTTCCCTATGGGTTTTCATAGGAATAATGTTTCTCAAACTGTGAGGTTAACCTCTTCAGTGAGGTGCCAGCCTCTTCCAAAAAACAGTAAAGGTAAAATATTAAAAAAGGGGAGAAAATATTTTCACTGAAACAAATTTTGTATTAATTTCTCTTGGAATTTTAAATAGAGAGAAAATTTCAATTTGTTGCCACTGGCTAAGGTAATTTATTAGTTTCTAGAAGCATTAATAATGGAACCAGAATAAGAGAAAAATCATTGTCAGTGTGGTTTTTTTCTGTTGCTTAAGAAACTACATTAGCTCTTATATTCTTATATTGCACACCAAAATGTTCCCACTCACGTGAGAGATCAGTCATCCTCACACCTTATTTTGTCACACTTAAAGAATACATTTAATGATCTCAAATTAATTGTCCCAAACATAATTTTAATCAATGGACTTACAAAAAAAAAAAAAACTTAAATGACAAACTACATTTAGACTCCATTTCCTTTCTGGGTCAAAGTAAAACAAGAAAAAATAGTGTGTTGAAATTTGAAAAAAGATTGGGATCAATGAACCTGGTTGAGTCTATAAAGAAATAATATGCAAACCAAGGCAAAACAAAGAAAATGGAAATGGATACTTGGTCCTTATGTGGATTTTATTCTCCTTCCACCAATATACCCCAAATGATATGAAACTTTCATAGTTGGTCCAATTATTTTTTTCTTAATAAAGTATATGATGACAGTTTAAGAAATCCTGAAACAGAGGTACTAAAAAGCCAAAAGTAAGAGAATTAGGGTACTGTATACCAGTTACCTGGTGAAACAGATTAGTATTAATATCAGCTCGCAAGATTAAAACAACTCCTATTTGTGAAAAGCAGAGCAGGTAAAATCTTACGTGTACTCCGGTGCAGAAATCGGTGCGTGGAACCTTGAAATTTTATTTCTTGGGGCAGAATCTGATCTGTGCCACCTTAAATAATAATTATGCTTCTTTTACATATTCAGCTTTCATAACACAAAGAAAAAGCTAGATACATGATTCTACTGGTCAGAAATCATTTTTGTGCCAGTAGCTGACAATAATCAATCCTACTGCCTCTTCAAAGTCATTAAGAAAACAAAGGCCAGTGCTCCTGTTCTTATACCCATTCACACTTCTATTCTTAATGCCACAGAATAAAATAAAGTAGAGGCAGGCAAAAGTTCATGCACAATGAGGCAAAATCAATTTCATACTACAAAGCAAAGACTAAAGTAGGTAAAGACAGCAAGAGTGTAACAATTACTTTGGTAGGGGTAAAATATAGCTGTATTATATTAATGTTTCTTCCTCACCACAGTAACAACATTGAATACATAATGTGCTCATTACACAAAATTCCTAAACTTAATAAGATGTAGACTCTTAAGAATTAATTCAAATATAAATTGTAAAATTAACAATGGCAGAAGGAAGGCAGGTAGATTACATTATAAATAAAAAGATGGTTAAGTATCTTACCATAACATGGTAACATACATAACAACTGTAACGAAAAGTATGGTTAAGTAATGTAAGCATTTCACTGTGATGATGTACAGTTAAAGATTCGTGTTACTTTTACTGCCAAAAATGAGATTTTTTAAAACATAAGATTTTCAGTTTTATTAAACATCTAGAAAATGCCATTAAGGCAACCTAAAAAAAAAAAGAAAATCAAATATTTAGTTAGCACTGTTAATCTTTTCTGTTATAAGGAACTTTCATTATTGGGTAAGTACAAAAATATCTATTAACTAATCATTTCATTGGGCTGGTTTTCATACATAACAGAGCTATTTGCTTTCTCTTCAGCTGAACTTGGCTATCAATAACATATACTTCATAAGAAAAGACAAAAGTGATGTTATACTAAAATAATCCTATTTTTATTTTATTAATAAGAAATAAAGTGACTATAGACTAAGGACTAAGCCAAATCTTTATATATTAGAAAGTTTACTAGAAACCTCTACGGCCTTAAAAAATATATATTATAAATTGAAAATAACTAAAGCCTTAGGTATATGTTAATCATTCTGACAGGGTACTAAAGATTAATGAGCTACCGCAGCCATAGACTATGTAGCCTTTTCACTATTTGTATGATATATTTGGATATATTCTAGAAAAATGGATTTAATGGGCCTGTTGACATCACTGCCAACCAGATAACTTCAGGTAAACATACAATTAACCATAAAAAAATTTATATTAACAATGGTTGAACTTCAGATAAGTCTCCCCTGAAGAAGATATATATTCATTTTAACTCACTCTCTTTCTATATAACCCTTTAGAATAATTGTAACTACTTAGGAGACATTTCAAGACTATCCAAGAAATCGGAGCAGTAAAAGAAGAGAATGGAATTTAAACAAGGCAAGCAAATAATTTATATTGAAGTTAGAACTTTACTGATTGGTTAAAATGCCAGTGAACTTGTTCTTAAGACTCTTTCAAAGCAAGGATAAAAATACATGTTAAAAAATCCTCCTTCTACCCTGAATATTAAACACCCTACCCCATCAAAATCCCTCTGCACTACTATATTCTTTAGTCAGGTCCAAACTAGAACTTAATATGGTATAATATAAATAGTATAATTGTATTGTGCTCTAGTTGTTTTATATACATAAAAAATTAAACATTTTGCTTTTATCTACATTTGTAAGCTCGAAGAAAAGGAGAGGTATCACCTCCCAGTTCTTTCATAGTTCCCTAAGAAGCTAACATGATGCTGGTTAGCTAACAAGAAGCTTCATGAAGCTAACATGAAGCTAACCACATATGGTTAGCTTCCACATGTGAAGCTAACCATATGCATCACATATGGTTCATGACGAGCCCATGAAAATTGACCAAAAAATTAAAGAGGAAGAAATATTAATTTATATAAACAATCTAAATATTAATCTTTTTAAAAAGCCACCACTGCCAATGGCTTTGAGATTTAAAATTCTGACTAGTTTTAGAGAGATGTTTTATTTGTAAAAATCCATTAATTTTAATAAAACAGTAAAAAGCTCTTCCCTGATCTAAAACATCTTATGGTAGGTTTAAGATCAGGGTGTGATAATATGACCAAATGGAAAAGAAAGGTTTAAACAAACAGTCCTTTAAACAACATACTTGCATTTTTGAAAATGAAAGAGACCTAATAATTTAACTAATAATTTAATGAGTCAGTCGGCATAAAGCTAAAAAATACTCCTGGAAAGTTAAAAAAAAAAAAAAAAATCCACATGTCTATGCCACACTGTTTACCACGTCACATTAGAAGCAGAGCTGGAAAGGGCTGGTTCACAATCTTATAACCACCTAAGTAACTTGAAAATAGAGACATTTTATACACCGTTTTCCTTTTCTAGTTTTCAATCTACAGGCTAACTCTTGAAGACTGCGTATAACTAAGCCCTTACATTTATCAGTTTGTTTTAAGTATACTTTATAGGAGATTTCCTAAATAACTAAATCGTACATATAGAAGAGTTACCATACATACAGAAGAGGAAAATGCTACTGAAAAATTCTCACAACTAACAAAATGGCGCAATTTTAAGACTATAAAAAGTACTAAATGTAAAATTGATATATATGTAAAACAGATTTCAAAAACTACGGGAAGAAATTATTTAGAAAAAGCTAGATACACACAATATACCAAAAAAACTTATAAAGGAGATACAATGCTCAGTGGTTCTACTCACATAGAATCATTTCTGACCAGCTGTCCATTTTGGCGAACAGCATTTTCACTCATAGAGCGCTCTCTTTTTAGCCTGCCAACTGCACGGATCTGTTAAGGCATAAAGAAAGGGAAGGGAATAGAAAATATTCTTAGCAGCATGGCAGCTTCTTAGCATCAAAAAAACCTTAATCCAAGGCTACTCACAAAATTTACAAAGAACATAGCCAAGAAAAAACAACCAATAATTGCTGCCAGGCATGTGTACTACAGATAGACTTGTTAAGAAACCCCTACTTATTATAATGCAGATAAACTTAGGAATTCCTACTTAAGATAAAAGCTACTTTGATTTCTTTTCAAGTATCAATCTTACTTTGTACAATTATTATTATTTGTTATTATTTATATTATATACTTATTTATAAGAACTAAAAAAAATTTAAGGGCACATATATTGTTAGGAAATGGAATATATCTGTATGACAAATAAATGTTTCTGGCTTCAAGGGTTAAAACAAATTCAGATTTGGTTGGATATTTGAAAACTAGACTAAAAAAGTATCTTTCTAGCTGAATGGTTTTGGCATTCCAGAATGGTCACAATTGTCCACCCCACATGATCTTCTTCCATTAAGAGACAGTATTTATGATCCCTTCCTTGATACTGGGTGGGCTGGTGACTGCTGTAGGAATGATGCAATGTGACTTCTGAAGCTAGATCATAAATAATAATACAGCTTCTGAATCTTTTCCTCCAGATATTCATGTTAAGAACAATGGCACCTTGATGTAAGGAAGCCCAAGTAGCCACATAACAAGGCCATGTGTAGGTGTCCCAGCTGACAACCCTAGCAGAGGTCCCACACAACAACTAATGTCAAGTGACATGTGAGAGAGCTAGCCTTCAAATGACTGCAGCATCCAGCTGTTGAGTCATCCTTAGCCTTTGAGACTTCCCAGCTTAGGCCCCCAATCACACCCACTTCAAATTCCTAACCCACAGAATCCACAAGCAAAATAATTTTGTGTATGTTTTAAGCCACTAGTTTAGGAATGGTTTGGTTAAACAGCTGTAGATAACTAAAACAATGGTAATCACTCACTTTCCTGCCTGTTTTTTTTTTTTAAAGCTAGAAACAGCCATGGCAACTTCATGATTAAAAAAATTTTAGACTTCACTGTAAAGAAGAACTAGTATGTGAATCAAATGACTTAAAAATTAAAATTTTCAAAAATGCCAATCAATATTTAGTGTTTTAAGACCTGGGAATATATTATCAGGTTATAAGCACCATCAAAGTAGAATAAATCCTATATTTCATGCCAAAAGAACTTAAAACCACACTATGCAGCACATAATTTCAAAGCATGGTTTAGATTTGGTCATAAACCATTTACCCATCTAAACAAAAGAAAAAAAGTAACTTCTGAAAGCAGAGAAAGAGTCAGTTTGGAGCCTACTGCAAGAGCCTTTTAAGGTTAACCCCAAAATCAAAATTACTTTTAAGCAACTATATTTAAAATTTAACACCTTCACAATCAAAGTATATTTTATTTACATACAATGACCAGCGCTGAGTTGGTTTCTAAGAATTCCAGTGATGCTTGCCTTCCTACCTCCTGCAGCGTTGTGGGTGCCTTCCCTACAGTAGAACAGCTCTTTCATATAGCAAGGATCAAGATCAATTGCCTATTAAATCAGAACCAATCCTACTGCAATGTGCTGAGAACTAAGATTAAGCAGGACAGGAAATGATGGGAGAAGACAAATACGTCTATGACTGCAACACATCCTGAAAAGCTAGAGTATCCTAAGTCTATTGCTATTTTCGCCACCTGCAATCTGATTTAAAATATATCTTAACAGGGACACTGAGCTTGATATTACTGCCATATTGGAGGTCGGCAGGTAGCAACTTGAGGCAAAAGCATATATCTGTCATGCCTTCTAACATGACTGACTTATACACTGTAATACCAAAGAATTCAGACACTGACTGGGATGTTAAGAAACACAATGATCTTTTAAATATTTTCACCATTTAATGATAGTGGATGTCTTTTCTTCAATTAAAGATTTTAAAATGTCATTCAGAACCATCCTGCATTGATCAGCCACTTAAAAACTTGTTCACTCCTGAGGCTGAGAAATACGGTTTTCTATCTTCAGACAACTTCCTGGAAGGTGGGTCATAGGGACTTCTATGTCCAGTAATATAACATGGAACACTAGACACATGTTGTACACATGCATAAAATTCCTCTTTAATGTGCCTAGACTCCAAGTTACATTTCACTATTCATGAATTCCTGGGCAAATTAATATCCTCTAGGCTTTTGTTTACTGGTTCTCTCAATCTGTTCAAAGCCTTCTCTCCTTCAAGAATCTGCTCAGGTTCTTTAGCATTTTCTCTCTATACTCATCCCTGTTTTCTGTGGTACTTTTATTGGAGAAGAGTCAAAAGTAAGAGTCAACAATGTGAACCGAACAATTGGGGTGAACATCCTCCCCTCCCCAAACAATTTTCACTGTCCAAAAACTTAAAATAACTAATTAGGGGGAGAACAGTGGAGCCGGTGATTGCAGGTTTGGGGAAGGTAACATGGAACAACATGTTAGCTGTGAAGAGACCATGCCCACACTAAGAGGGCCATGAAACAAGAGCTGTACAAAGAACGTGAATGCACCTCCCTGAATCTTCCATGGACATATGTGTTTACATACACATAATTAAGTTGTTCTTTTTTTCTTCTTCTTCTGTTCAGACTTTTGCTCCATTCTGCTCAGTGCAGTGCCAGCTTCTTTTTCCACAAATGAGGGGAAGAAAAGGAAGCTAAATAAACCATCACTAAGGTGATGAGACCCATATCCATCAGGTTCTTGATTTTCTAAACTACTGCACAGCCCTTGTAAGTATTCACTGAGATCCTGGGAGTCCTTCTGCATTTGTTTTAGGCAGTGCCATATAGCTGGGTGACTCATTAAACTTCAGGTCAGGGATGATCTTTCACTTCACATGCTCAGGGTTGTCATGGCAATTGAACTGGGCCATCAAAGGGTACTGATAACCATCTGCTGTTTCCTTACAGTAGGATTACAGGTCTAGAGCCTTCTGTTAAACATAATGGCTTTTATGTTATCCTTTTGCTTCTGGGGCCACTGCTTTCCAAGTGTAAACTGTGATGAGCTTGGTTCCAGCTGGATGTTATTTGTGCAAGTCCTTGACTTCCAGCTGTACACTATGTACATGATTGCTGTAGAATTTGGCATCTGGTAGATGCCATTTAATGGCTTCTGTATAAGACTTGCATGGCTTGGAGACAGTTCCCTTTCTGAAAACATTCCTTGCTTTTGCTCTTCTCTTCCAAAATCAGGTCTGGGTTATACAAAGGCCAACTGATTTTGCTCCCTTAAGATCACATCTGATTATTAATAGTTCTTGGGTACTTATGGAGTTCAGCATCTTCCAGAGATTTATTATAGAATGGATGATATTTTCATACTTCTCTTCTCTGAAGTAGGAGTTGCCAATTCAGGCAAAAGCTCTTATAACCAGTCTGTTTTTTTCATCCTATTTCAACAGCCTCCTGACAAAGCTCTTGGCATTCGTTGTAGTTAATCTTTTCAAAGCATACCACTGCTTGCATAATTGACAGAATATGATGGTGGAGTCCAAATCTTTGGATAGGTCACATTGTTCAAGGCTGCATCAAATCTTCTTACAGGCATCATTTTCCAACTCTTTTTCTTTACATTCTTCCTTCTTGTTCTCTGGAACTTTACCTACTGGCTCCAGTTGGAACTCCTTTTTGAGAAGAGGAGGTAGTGTCAGTGTCCCCACCTCTTCCTCCCTACTCACACTGCCCGATCTACTGTAAGAACACTGAGCGTTGTCATAATTTGGGTATTTTGTAGTTTCAGGCCCAGATCACATGGTTTACTGCATAGCTGCTTCATTAGTTCCCTGTAGGCAGAATCATCAAGCATTGGTTTTGTCCTGGAGATGCTTTCCAAATATTGGTAGAGATTAGGCATATTGAAAGGGTTCATTAATCTCCTCTCTTCCAGCCAAGCCTCCTGATTTTATAAATCCTCTTTGAACTAGTGGATTTTCTATGTCAAAACGGCCCTCCTCATGGGCTCACTTATTCTTAAGTCAGTTTAAGAATTCAAGTGCAGTTCCTTTCTACAAATTTATCCCTTTTGGCTTTTAGATAACAATTTTATAGCCTTCCTCATAAATTTTCTCCTGGTAGTAGCCTTTCTTGACATAGGCCAGTGATTCTCAGCCAGGGGTGATTTTGCCCTCTAGGAGATATTTGGTAATGTCTGGAGATACCTTATTTTTATTGTGGTGAAATATACATAACATACAATTCACAATTTTAACCATTTTTAAATGTATAATTCAGTGGCATTTAGTACATTCACAATGTCGTATGAGCATCACCACTATCTAGCTCCAGAATATTTCCATCACTCCAAAAGGAAATCCCATACTGACTAAGAAGTCACTCAATTTTCCTCTCCCCCAATCCCTTGACAACCACTCATCTGCTTTCTGTCTTTATGGATTTGCCTATTCTGGATTTCATGAAAGTAGAATAATATAACACATGTCCTTTTCTGCCTGACTTCTTAAATGTAGCATAATGTTTTCAAGGTTCATCCATGTTACAGTACATATTAGCACTTCATTCCTTTTTATGGCTGAATAATAGTCACTATATGGATATATAACATTTTGCTTATCCATTCATCGATTCATGAACATTTTGGTTGTTTCCACCTTTTGGCTACTGGAGACAATTTTTACTGTCATGACTTTGAGGATGCTACTGGTATCTTGTTGACAGAGATCAAGAATGTTGTTAAACATTCCACAGTGCAAAAGGACAGCCCTAACCACAACAAAGAATTCTCTAGTCCAAAATGTCAATAGTGCTGACACAGAGAAACCCTGGCATCCACTGTAGAATGATTACTACAGCGCAAATCGTTCTGGGGATCTCACTTTACAGATTTTAAGTAGTATGTGAATGAATCACCAATGTTATCAGCACTCAGGGCCTTATTTTCCTTCTATTTCAGTCCATTTCTAGAAGATGCTAGAACCTGGCCCCTACCTTTCCTCCCCTGCTAATTGGTTTACTGCTTCTTGAGGGCTACTTAACTCTTCTAGCTTGATGTACAAACCATCATCTTTGCTTTCCTTTCAATAGGCAGCTGGTACTAATCTCAGAAATTCCTCTCTTGCTCTCAGGATTTGGTTCCTGCCACAGGATTTTAACTCTTTCATAAGAATATTTATACATATTGAGCTTTTTAACATGAATTAGAACATGTACTAAACATGTTACATGTGTTACATTTAATTCTCATAGTAATCTTATACATTTGGTATTATTCTCACCTTTATTTTAGAGATAAGCTTTAGAATTGTTAAATAACTTGCATGAACCTATGTGGTTAGTAAGTGGCAAAGTAGGCCATCAAAATCAGATCTAATTATCAGCCCAAGTTTTTACCCCAGTGCTGTATGCTCTGGGTATTTACCACACTTGACTACATACCACAATTAATACAGGAGTGAACCCTATTTAGTCTTAAAGACTTGGTCTACTGAGGGGAATCCTAGTAAACTTTTCTTCACTAATTCTTAGAAGAAAGTGCTTGGGCTGCTTCAATCAGTTATGTGCATCAGATAGGCAGAAGTGTCTAAAGCAGTCAGGGGGAGCAAAAAGACCAAAATAAAAAACAAAGCCTTGGGCCGGCCTGGTGGCGCACTGCTATAGTGCGCCGCTTGGGAAGCGCGGAGGCGCTCCCGCTGAGGGTTCAGATCCCACATACAGACCGGCCGCTCACTGGCTGAGCGAGGTGCGGGCGCAGCACCGAGGGTTGCGATCCCGTGGCCGGTCCCGGTCTGGTGCGGGCGCGACACTGAGGGTTGCGATCCGTTGCCGGTCACGAAAAAAGACAAAAACTGCTTCAATCAGTTATGTGCATCAGATAGGCAGAAGTGTCTAAAGCAGTCAGGGGGAGCAAAAAGACCAAAATAAAAAACAAAGCCTTGGGCCGGCCTGGTGGCGCACTGCTATAGTGCGCCGCTTGGGAAGCGCGGAGGCGCTCCCGCTGAGGGTTCAGATCCCACATACAGACCGGCCGCTCACTGGCTGAGCGAGGTGCGGGCGCAGCACCGAGGGTTGCGATCCCGTGGCCGGTCCCGGTCTGGTGCGGGCGCGACACTGAGGGTTGCGATCCGTTGCCGGTCAAGAAAAAAGACAAAAAGGGAAAAAAAAAAAAAAAAAACAAAGCCTGAAGAGCAAAGGGAATGTCTCTTCCTCGGCAGACTTCTCACTCCAACACAGGATTTTTCACAGGTGTGATTCCCACTGGGAATTCTGGAGAGCTGAGAAGCTGAACCTCTAACTGGGAGCACGCTGTGATATCTTTTGCTTTGTGTAACCATCTACGTAACTTTCATTATCTTTTTATATCCAAGAACTTTATGTCTTCTGTGTGCGTTGATGTCTTTCCCTCACTTACACAATTGTCCTGCTGTGACTAGGCAGAACTTTCGAGAGCAGGAACTATGTCTTATTCATTATTGTACTACATACAGTGTCTTACACATACAAGCTCAAAAAATGTTTGTTAAATAAATAAAATTCTGTAAGTATCTCAGTGTCTTTCTGCCATTTAAACGCTCAAATTTAGTGCTTTCCACCAAGCAAATATCTAGAACGTTCCAACTGGCACCTACAAGTACAGTACCTTAATTACCTCAGCAGAAATTACAACCTAAAAAAAAAAGCTGCACCTAGTATTAGGAAACTGCATTGCCCCAGATTATATGGGTGCTTCATCCTTTTCGGAAAGGACTATATGAAAAATAAAACCAGACACAGGCAAGTACCATTATTAATAAGAACATATGTTGGCACATTGTCTTATACTAGCCTCATGACAACATGTTATAAGCTCCAAAGCTATAATGAAAAAGACGCAATTGCAGAAATCGTCACAGAAAAGCAGCTTCAAAAGATTGGCCCTAAATCCATGGCAGAGGCAAGATGTGAACTCTGCTACTAACACCTTATTAGTCCACACTGCTATATATAGGTATTAATGTCATGTGGCACAGCAACTAACTCCGTACAAACCTTTCATCAAGTAGCAATGGGTTGTGTCTAGGGATAAAGAGCTTCCTTTGCCCTGTTTGCCAAATTGATTGTGTAACAAAGTGATGCATTAATTTTCCCCTATTGATAGACTTTCCAACTTTTTCTGTATTGCTTGAGACTTAACACCTAGCCATAAAAGCTCTTCTTTCAAGACCACACAAACGTTAATAACACCTTCTGCAAAATTTTCATTTCCCTGAAACATAATTAAATAAGAAAAAAAATAGCATACCTTAATTGAGGTATTTATAAATCAGAATTGATATTAATCAATGTTCCATGTGGAAAGCTTTCATTACATATTGCTAATGATATAATTTATAACCTTTTACCTTCTCTCTAAATTTTACTTCTGTCCATATCTGTATTATCTCAAATTCAGTTGATGTTAAAATTCTACTTACTTCTTCATTTTGAGGGGTTGGAGGAGGTCTTTCTAAATCCAGAAAATCCAGTGGTCTTTCACTTAATGTAAGTACACGAGGTGGTGTTTTTAGTGCCAGAGGTTTTAAGGGAGTTGACTGAATAAGGTCAAGATCTGCTGGCCTTGAAAATGGAATGTCTTCATTATTTCCTAGAACCAAAAAGTAAAATAAAATAAAACAAGAAAGTGGGGGAGGTTTTTTAAAAAAGATAGTTGTTTTGTTAAAATGTATTTACCTTCTCCCACTTTTGTATTATAACCTGCCCAATAGCGTTAGTTTCTTTAAAACTATGCTTTCAGTATAAGAATTTACATTTCACTAATCTTATCGTTGTGCTGCAGAAATAATAGAGAAACTATGGAATAAATACATACATGACAAAAAAGCTGGTGTCCAGAATATATAAAGAACTCTTGTAACACCCAATTTTTCAAACTGGCATAACATTTAGAAACATGCTTCACAAAGATATACAAATTATCAAAAAACACATGAGCAGATGTTCGAAATTATTAATCATCAGAGAAACAGAATTAAAATCACAATGAGATGCCACTACACACTTATTCAAATCACTAAAATTAAAAAACTGACAATCAATATGTTGGCAAGGGTGTGAAGCAACTGAAACTATCATACATCACAGATATGACTGTAACATGGTACAGCAATTTGGAAAATAGATTGGCAACCTAATTTATAATACGATTTAGCAATTCCACTCCTAGAGATATGAAAACATATGGCCTCACAAAGACTTCTACATGAATATTCATAGCAGCTTTATTCATAACAGCTCCAAACAGGAAACAACTCAAATGTCCATCAACAAATGAATAGATACACAAATTACAATGTACCCACACACCACTGAATAATACTCAGTAATAAAATGAAATGAACAACTGATATACACAACATGGAAGAATCTCAAAAACATTACACTGAGCAAAAGAGCCAGACAAAAGAGTATATACTCTATGATTCCATTTATATGAAACTCTAGGAAAAACAAATCTAGTCTCTGGTTATAGAAAGGAGACTATGGTTATCTGCAGTTGAGGGGTTGGAACTGAGAGCGGTACAAGCGAACTTTTCAGGGAACAAAAATGATCTACATCTGGACTGTGGTGGCAGTTTACCTTTTTCAAAATTCATCAAGTGTGCACTTAAAAATGTATACATTTTATGCATGTAAAACCTCAGATAATTAGTTGAATTATTAAAAAATACTATTTGAAATTCAGACTATTGTAAAGAATAGAAAATGTGAATCTAAAGTTGCATTTCCCAATCCCTTCTCTAATATTCTGGAAAACCCAAAAGTTTTCATAAAAATATATAAAACAAAGATTTATCAGGCAACTTTTTAAACTAATGGGAAATACCTGTCACAACAATCCTCTCCGGAACCTGCATTATCACACTAGCATTTGGAACTCCTTCTTGGAATCCTTGTTCCAGGTCAGCATTTGGTGGTGCTACTTTTAATTTTTCCGGGACCCTCATTCGTTGACTGATACCTTCGGTGTATTCCATTTCATACTGAATTCGACTAATTTCCGCCATCTCAGCAGCAGTGGGAGAAGGAAATGCTGCCCCACTCACCCTGTGGGAGAAATATTTAAAGACAGGAATAACTGAGTACTAAAATGACAGTCTCCTCTATGCAGTAAAGTTAGAAGACAAAACCCTTATAGAAATAGCAAAAGAAAACTTCTCATTTGCGAATACTGAATATATACAAAGAAAAAATAAAAGACTGAAGAAGATGCTTTCCTCAACATAATATCTTCTTACTTATCAGTTAAAATTGCACCTTGAGGATATCGCTTAGGAGCAAATTTTAAAAATCATCGTATAACACAAGACAAATGTGTACAAACACATACACATACTCTCTCTGCACAAACAGATTAAATGCTGCTTAAAACTCAAAAAATGCCTGAAATAAAATTTAAATTAAAATTTCCTAATCAATTCTTTCAGGGAAAGCTGCTTGGACTTTATAAAAATGAATTTAGAAACTGCCATCATTCAAGAAAAAAATAAAACTTTTCAATGATAAAAATCAAACTTATAGGTAAATAAGGTTAATTCTAAATTTACTAAAAAAGATGCCAACCAACCCTTGAAAATCACATAATATAAATCAAAAGATCGTTTACTGAACATGTATCTGTTGACTGAGATGGAATGAACACCAAATACGGAATTTGTATTAATAAATCCTCATTGTATGCATTCATTTTTTGAGGGAATGAAAGTTTTACATTATTAATTTGTACTTAATACCATATTTATATGTATACTTTTACAAAGCAAAGCATGCCTTTAAAGAGAAAGACAATACAAACGCATTGAATCACGTTTTAAACTGGAGGATGATCCATAATCCCAGAAAAATGCAGTACAAAGAATGCTGCCCCAAAATACAAAGTACTGATAAAAGTGTGAAAGAGCACGGTTAGCCTATGGCAATCAGCTTTAAAGCCACTGTCTCTCAAACCTATAACACCAGCTCAACTGAATAAAATTTCACTGACCTTCCTAGCGGTGTGTCACTGCTTGTTCTTTTACTCATTTTAATACAGTAAATATGAGTACACGTCTACAATAGCTATTATAATACTGCTACCCTGTAGTTCAGTTTACTTTACACAACAATTCCCCTACAGATCTGAACTTTTTTTGAAGGAGTACATAACAACACGGACACTGCTTTTCCAGCTGCAAAAAAGAAAGAATAAAAATCAGTATTTTGACAATTCATTTCATAAGAAAACTATAAATAAAAGTAAATATTTACATAAAATTATTTTCCAACTTGATCAAATTTTTCATAAACAATTATTCTATACCTCAAAAATCATAAAGATGGTTTTAAACATGGTCACTGTTTTAAGATTTTGCAAACAGGATGAAGAAAAGCTGTATCGAATGTATATACAAATGTGAAGTCAGATTAGAAAAAACACTGCCATAAAACTAATTATATTCTGAAAGTGAAAAGGTACAAATGAAAAAATCATGAAGAGAATGCAATGGATAAAAGTAAATGTAGTTGAGGCAGCATAAAATTTCATGTGTGAGTAATGGTTTCTTTAAAAGGAAATAAACTTCAAAAACCAAATTACACTAAATTTTCAGCAAAAGATATTATATACAAATCAAGGACAATAAAAAATTAAAGACAGTATAAATGTCTTTATCATAGTTGCTGAGATATTTCTTAAAATCTAACAATGTCAGAGATGTATTCTATACCTTAGCCCCCCCCCCCCACACACACTGAGATGCTTAAGAGAGTTCTCAGAGGTTGCTTAGGCTGCTGAGCCCTGACAACTGGTTTGATAATGACTGCTAACTAGCTTCTTTCATTCTTTACCAAAATGTCAGAATTTGAAGGATTTGGCATGCAGACGGTTTAATGACTAAGAAATAGAGCCAAAGAGAAAATTTTTACTCACAAATATGTACCAACTACTGCTTAATATTTGACACTATCTGCTTCTGTGCTTCATATTAAATCCTTTAACTTGCTTCAATGTGCATGTGCTGGATTTAGAGCCACTTTTGTCCCTGGGGAAGAAAAACAGGGGCTAATTGAGAAATAGATGATACCAATATTAGGAATTCATTGCTGGAAATTCTCCAAATGAAAAAAGTCACAAAGATGCACAACCTTACATTAAGAAATCAAAAGAATAAAGAAAAAAATAATAATCTTACCACCAATTTTAGTCCCACACATAGGGCCCTATGATTATTCATTAGGTATGGCAAGATAAAATAAAAACCGACTCTGTCATTGTTTTTTATTTGAATTTAGAAAAATGTGGGAGATGAAAAGTATGTAAAATTAAATGAATCTATGCATATTACACACACATATTAGGGAGAAACAAATGAATTGGTTAAATTTCATTCACTTAAAGTGTTTTAATTTTTGAACCAGTAATAATACATGTACATGGACAAAGTAAACATGTACATACAGAGAAAACGAAGTGTCCCATCTGTTCCTATCCTCAAACACCCAGGTACCCACAGATAACCTCTATTATCAACAGTTGTGCATCATTCTAGACAAGATGCTCTTCTAATGCTTCTGTGTATCTGAAGCATAACAAAAGCTTATATTCAGAAATAATACCCAAAGAGAGATGTCAAAATGATTATACCTTGGGACATTATGAATTGATGTTTTATAACAAACAAGGGACACAAGTTGCTAGAACCACATTATCTCCCTGAAATGTGCTAGTCTCTGCATTCCATTCACTGCATTTCAGTCTTATTAATTTTCCACTAATACATCTCATGAGTCCCACCATTTCTTTCTATAGCGTTATCTTTTCTTATGAGAATCTCTGAGTTTGTAAAGAATCATGGACTTACAACATAAAGGTGGACACTGGAAATACAATTTCTGGAAAAAGCCAAATTCTCCCATAGCTGAACTAATTAAATTTAAAAAGTAAATGAATTTTATACTAAGATTTAATACTGTACTGTCCCAATTATTGGGTTTTCTGCTTTGGTAAAACAGATCAAAATCTAATTCTTTTTCTCCCCCATTAGACTATAGCATTTTTGCTAATATCTTTTGGCAATACATAAAATAAACTACTCATTTGGGGTTAAGATATTAATTCCAGAAGTTTTGTCACTTAGAATCTACTAGCCAAAAGATACATGATTCTCTGGTATATAACTAAGGAGATAATCACTCTCGGAATCACAGGTGATTATCTGTTGCTAAACCCAGTGCTTCCCAAACATCATTAACTTACTTACCAACTTCATGTTGTTGTTTTTTTCTTTCACATGGTACATTTACTCTTAGCTACAATTAATTTTTCTTTAACTTTAACAAATGTTAATTTTTAAAAGGAAATTTTACATCACTACCCTAAACCATGGGCTTGATGTACAACACATAACAAAAACATAACTATTACAAAAAATCCTCATCCACATACCACTGGTAGAAAGTGTACCAATTTTGGGACACAATGATTCAAGCCCAACTTTCTCTTTTTCTGTATTAGAACACTGGAACCCAGAAAACCTAGTAAGTCACACAATTTGGGTCAAATTGGTTGCAGTTGTAAAGAATTAAATACTTCTCTAATTACATACACATAAAAATCTCCAGTTTTTTTTTTTTTTAATCACTTACTGTGTGTACCTAGTTCAAGGTTTTTATAGGGTCATCCATTTCTAGTTCTCTTTCCAGGTTACTATACTTAAAAGAATGGGTGTATCAGAAAACCAGTATGTAGTGATCCAGGGTTGTTTTTTTTTTTTTTTTTAAAGAAAAGTCACTGAAAACTTTGAAAAACATGTATTAACGAACTTTAAAATAAGGTTATGATCCCTAAGAAAAAAAAAATTTTTTTTTTTTGTCTTTTGTCTTTTTTCCGTGTCCGGCAATGGATTGCAACCCTCAGTGTTGCCCCTGTACCGGGCCGGGGACCAGCAACGGGATTGCAACCCTCGGTGTTGCTCCCCCGCCTCGCTCAGCCAGTGAGCGGGAACCGGTCCGTATGTGGGATCCGAACCCTCGGGCGGGAGCGCCGCTGCGCTTCCCAAGCGGCGCACTTATTCAGTGCGCCACTGGGCCGGCCCCCTTAAGAAAAATTTAAACACCAGAAAGGAGGACAACAGCAGCTAAACTTTATAATCCTAAAATGAGGCAGCCCTATGAAGGCAGAAAGAGAAAGAACACACAATTTCCTTTTGGAAAGCACAACAAAACCAATTCACAAGACTTTGAAACCAAAAAGATCGTAGGTCCCCCAAACAATTTAATTATGGCTAAAGACTACTAAGTACAACTACTAAATCGCTCTGATTTTCCTAAGAGGTCTTCTTTGGGGATCTCATTAGCCAACAGAATTGATGCAGAAACAAAGGTTATTCATCCATGGAGAGAATGCATTCACCATCGAAGTCTCTCAGCGGGTTGAGAAGCCTGGATACGACTGGTTTCATACGAGTATTTGGGCACCAGGGCCAGAAAGCTTGTCTAACCTGCAATTAACAGACGCCACGAAAGGGTGCCCTTCCTAGACATGCCCCCGCTCTAACTGTGGACACAGCCAGGGCTTTTCTTTTACCAAAGAAGGGAGCCTCGTCCAGCAGACAAGGTCAGAGGTTCGACGGACGGGAAGGCAGGCAGGGCAGCCACCGCCTGCATCCACCCCTGCGAGCAAGGATGCTCAGGGGCCCGCGGCCACCGCGGATGCCACAGCCGGGGCTTCCCACAAAGCCCTTCTTTCCAAACACGCACGTTCCACAAAACAAACAAAACACTTTTAAAAAGGCAGGTTCAAGGTCATGCTGTAAGGGGTCACGGCCTTGGCGGGGAAAGATGGGCGCTCAAGCCTCTCCTCCTGTTTCCCAAACCCCAAACTCTCTCCTAGTGGGAAACGTCCTAACTCATCCGTAAAACGAGACGCCGAAGAGAAGGGGTGAAGAGGTCAGCCCAGGTCCACCTGCAGGGGAGGGTCCCTCTCGCACCGCTCTGGGGGTCGAGGAGCGGTGAGGTCCTGATAATGAAGAAGGGAATGTTGAAGGCGAGAGACCCCAGGGGACGGGACTCTGGCCACGGCGACACCACAGGCGGGCCGACCCCCCGCAGGTCCCTCCGCCGGTCGGAGGGTCCGAGCCGCGGCGCCAGGCCCGGAGGTGGACTCGGGCCGAGGGTCCCGGGTCGGGAGAAGGTCAGCACTCACCCCTGGGCCGGCTGGAAGGTCCCCGGAGAGGGCCGCCGCCCGCCGGCTCCCAGGGCGCTCGGGTGGGAGCTCTCAGAGGCCGTTGGCGGGGCGCACTGAAGCGCCCGGGAAAAGCACCGGCGGAGCAGCCCGCGTCGGGCCCGGAGGACGCGAGAACGGCCAAGAGTGGGCCCTTGCGGCAGCCGTAGAGGAAGCAGGTTCGTAGTCATGTGACGTACGAAAGGGCGGACGTGAGGCTCGCGCACAGGAGTGAGGGCGGTACGGAGACATCTTTGTTGTGGGCAGAATGTACCGACGCAGGTAACGCTTCTGCGGTACTTGAGTTTGGCTCACGCAGAGGCTTTAGATTAGTTCGTGGGCTTTAAAAACCTCGTATTTGCAAGGTCAACCTTCGGTAACTTTTTCAGGACCATCTGTTTCAAATTTTTTATGGTGCAAGGCCTAAGAATCTGCATCCTTAACCAGCTCTGCCAGTGATTTTTATGCATGCCAGTTTTGATTACTCCTTAAACCCACTAATTATCGGATATTGTCTTCAAAGGTGAGAACCCTGGAAAAGGGAAGTTAGGTTTCCCAATAATTAGCAACCTTGTTCAGCCTTTGGACAGCTGTCTCTGGGTCTAACCACCTAACTGGATTTTCCTTTTGGAAGCCCTGGCCAGGGAAGACCAGTACCTTGCTCACCCATGTGGGAACAGACGGAAGTCAAATCACGAACACTTTGTATGCCACAATTTTCACAAACAGCCAAACACTTTTTGTTTTGTTCTTTACAGATATGAGTGATGTATCTGCCCCTGATTCCAGAGGAAGGACCTGGGAGGCCTGGTTGCCGGCTTCAACCCACCCCGTCCTCTTACCAGGTTCTTGACTCCACCACAGGGAATGATTCAAGAGCAGAGTCGCAGTAGAAAGTGAGAACAGGTTTAATGTAACAAATAAGAGATACAGACTTCACAGAGAGAGTGTGGCATAGCTCCAGAGACTGAGCAGGGCCCACTCCAAGTTTAACACAAAAGTAAGAAATGCATGTTTAAAGTTCAGTACAGAATGCAGGCTGGTTCAAGAGAGTGAGCAGCCGCTTGCTGAAAGTAAGTTTGATATAAAAGAAAGCATACACACCTCAGCCAGCAAAGCACAGGTTTGCGACGGGAAAGTGAGCAACAACCCTGCCTTCTATGGGGATTCAGCGTTTATAGTTTCAGTATCTAATGCATAATCATGCTATCTAATGCGTATTCAATTAAAGGGGGTGGTTTCCAGTTACATAACATAGTCTAGCACATGCTCCTTTGGTCTCTTTTGGAGCAAGTTCATTGGTCAAATCCTATCACATGCACAAGACATATTCAAGAATATATTATGCTCTTTAGCACTCCTAGTGGAAGGTCATTCAAAGGATAAACTCCCTTCCATGGAGCATGCTTGGCTACCAGGGTAATATAACCCTTCTCTACTGAGCATGCCAAACCACTTTATTTGCATAAGCCAGCACCCTGAGGTCTCAGCTTCCCCCTGTTGTGCCAAAAATAGGTCTAACTAGTGACAGTAACTTTCCTCTAGGGGAGGGCAAAGAGGAGGGGCGTGAGACCTTCTGGAATGGCTTGAAACCAGGGAGTGTGTCATATAACCGGAACCCAGGGAAACTGAGCACCTCCTATCCTACTCCTCTAGAGTCTAAAGATGTTCGGGAGATGTTACCATTAATCAAACTCATTTGGAAAGCCCTCTGAATGGAATTCTTTGGCCCCTTCTTAACAGTGGTGTGGGGAAGGTAAAATTTCTCCTCCATCCTCTTAGGATCTTAGCTGGGCATAAGAGTTAAACTGATGTGAAGCAGATTAACAAGAGGGAAGCATGCAAATTTTATTTAGTAAGTTTTACGTGTACACTGGAGCCATCACTAGAAAAATGAAAACTCAAAGAAACAGTTAGGGTCCAAAGCTTATGCACTAGGTTGGACAAAGGCCAGTAAATTGTGAAGATGTGAAAAGACAAAAGGGTCTGGGCTTGGGCAGTTAATCATGGAGAAGGAACTGGGGAGATAAGGATTAGTTTAAGTTTGGTTTGTACAGATTTCTCTTGGCCTTGACTCCCCATCCATCTCTGGTGGTAAGAATGTCTTCCTTCCTCATGGTACAGGGAGGGCTCCGTTTGCATGGGAGTTTTATCTCCTGCTTTCAGGAAGAAAAAGGAAGGTCAGAGTACCCTTCTTGCATCTGCTGTTTTTATAAGTGTCTTTGACTCATAATAATCTTTATGCCAAAGTGGCATGTTTTGGGGTGGCATATTTGCTACTCTGCAGTGGCAAAAGAACAGGTTGCTGTTAGGAATAATCAGTTATTCCAAGCCAACCCTTAGGAGGAAAATAGAGGTGAAGCTAGGTGAGGCATCTATGATCAAAACTTTTAGGAATGAGGGTCCTGCTGCTTCCACTAACCCTTTCACTTCTTCCTTACTTGTAATTTGGTTTTTATTTCTGCACCCCAAAGGAAAATGTTTTCCAATAACTTTCAAATGAAGGTCATGACCCAATTACCAAACTCAATGTCATCTCCCATAATATTGATTGTCCTTTATCTTCCTGCATCATTTGATTTTGTTAAATTAAATGAGATAGAATGTTGTGCATCAAAGTACCTAATACTGTCTAGTAGTAGATTCTCAAAGAAAAAAAGGCATTTTTCTCTGCCTTATGTGGAAACTCTACTCCCTAGTTTTGTGATATAGATTCATGTTGGGTCTTTTTTCTCTTCACCATTAATGTGAACATTCCTGTTTATTTAGTCTCATCCTGTTACACTAGTTCTTAGCCAATTCTGCTTAAGTGTCCCATTGGAGCTTTGATCCCAGCAGGGTTTCAGACTCAATTTTTTTTCCTCTTCTCAATCCTGATACCTTCTCCTGAATTCTTTCTTTCTTTCTTTATTTTCAGTTAATGGCAAGATTATTTTTCCAGTCATCAAGGTTCAAAATACTGAAGTTATCTCAAACTGTCACCCACGTCCTCAGTGATGGTTAATTTTTGGTGTCAACTTGACTGGATTAAAGGATACTTAGATAGCTGGTAAGGTGTTATGTCTGAGTATGCTTGTGAGGGTGTTTCTGGAAGAGATTGGCATTTGAAACAGTGGACTGGGCAAGGAAGATCTCCCTTCACCCAATGGGGGTGGGCACAATCCAATAAGCTGAGGGCCTGGATAAGGCAGAGGAAAGGCAAATATTCAAAAAGGCACAGGAAGGGCAAATATTTCTCTCTCTCTTTCTTTCTCTTTCCACACACCCTCCCCGCCCCCCAAGCTCAGACACCCATCTTCTTCTGCCTTTGGACATCTGAGTTTCAGATTCTCTGGCCCTTGATCTCTGGGTTGCACCAGCAGTACCCCCAGTTCTCAGGTCTTTGGACTTGGACTGAGCTATGCTACCAGCTTCCCTGGTTCTCCAGCTTGTAGACAGCATATCTTTGTACTTCTCAGCCTTTATAATCATGTGAGCCAATTTCCACAATAAATCTCTTCTCATAGATAGATGGATAGATGAAGGATCTTCAAAAATGTTATGGAAAATTTCATATTATCTTTGAATTCTATTCTTCCACAAGCTTTTTAAAGTACCCTTGTATAGCCTATTGGTTCTGTTTCTCTGGAGAACCCTGACTAATATATCTTCCATCCTTTAGGTTCTCTCTTTCACTTAGCAGTCATCTACTGTATCTGTCTTTTCTGTTTCTACTGCTAAACCATTACCCATTATCTGGGATGTTATTCTTTTAACTGGACTCCCCATCTCAAATCTTTTTCTTTCTCTATTTCTTTCTAGATGTTGGGTCTACAAGGAATCTATTTTCACAAATTGTGACATTCTGAATATGAAGCCCCACCTTTAAAAGAAATTGATGATTTATAGTTATCTACAAATTCAGAAGTCCATAGCAGCAATCCATTAATTTTTAAAAACACTTAAAACTATGAAATAGCCCAGCAAGTGCAGTATATTAAATATTACATCTTCCAGGTTATTGTTTAGATGATAATTCCACTCTTTTGCTCAAAAATTGTCACTGGATCTCTGGTACCAATCAGTGAAATAGTAATTCAACCTGGTATTCTAAATCTTACCTAACATGGCCTAACCTCCTATTATGCCACTGTATTTACCACTGTGTGTGTGTCTGTGTAAGTATATATCACATACTCTTGACCATTAATTTTTCCCTGATACTGCTTCATTCCTTCCTAACTTCTTACCTTTATAGATGCTGTTCCTGCCACCTGGCATTCCTCCCGGCTTCTGTCCCTCTTCTGCTTCTAGAAATCCTAACTCTCTTAGAGGACCACTTAAAATGTCTCCTCTTTCATGAATTATTTCTTGAGGCCTTTAACTTTTGAACCACTATTTGTTGTCCCTTGCTGCACTTATCACGTTTTGTCCAGTATTATAATTATCCAATATTATAATTATATTTATATTTATAATTATATTAAGATTATAATTATCGGGCCGGCCCAGTGGCGCACTGGAGAGTGTGCCGCTTGGGAGCGTGGTGGCGCTCCCACCGAGGGTTCGGATCCCATGTGGAGACCGGTTCCCGCTCACTGGCTGAGCGCGGTGCGGGCGCAACACCGAGGGTTGAGATCCCGTTGCCGGTCCCCGGTACGGGCGCGACACCGAGGGTTGCGATCCCGTTACCGGTCAGTAAAAAAGACAAAAAGGAAAAAAAAAAAAGATTATAATTATCTTATTTTCCCCTAAAAGATTTTAAACTCTGTGTTTGAGACCAAGGTCTATATCTCACTCATCTGAGTGTATGCTGTGAAGTCAAACATATTCAGCATGTTGCAGGTCTTGGATATAAAGTAATGCCTATTTCCTTGTTTGGCTCATAAATTGGAATTGAAGATAATTCCAAAACAATAGTTCTAAAAAGGTTTTAAGCAATGTCAGCATTTTAAGAAAAAGCATAGAATCTACAAAATTTTAGGAAGGATTATATTTATCTGAATGTTTAAGATTAGCCTGGTTATTAAATACCAGCTATTTTTCCCTCTGTATTTGCTTGCCTGTTAGTTTGGGATAGGCAGAGCTGGGATTAGGATGATGTGAGCTAGGTGCCTAGGCGCAAATCGAAGGAGGCATTCACTCTCAGTATTCAAGTGCTCTGCCAGTAGGTTGCTAAGAGTCTATTAAGGACTGATCAAAGTTTTCCTTATTAAACAGGCTTCGAGGTAGAGAGAGAGAATGTGCTCAAACACAGCATCTGTTATTCTTCTACTTACCAACAGTAAAAATAAATTCTTTAAAATGGATTAGTACATTTTTTTTTTTTTACTGACAGTGTTTTCAAATTAGATTTTTTGGCCCAAATATGAGAATGTTTCCAAAATATTTGTTTAAGCAACATTTTATTTTTGTCTTAGAATTATTACCCAGAATCACTGTTCGTGCATTCCATTTCTTTCTTTGATTATGTCTTTATTATCATTCAACACAGCCTGAAAGCTCCTTATCAGAGATTTCATATTTTCTATATTAAAAGCATTCTTCTTTACCATTTCTCTGCATTTGAAATTTTATGAATTTTTTTCTTGAATGAATTGTATTTGTATTATAAATGGGAAACATTTATCAAAATATCTGATCCATAATTTCTGTAATCTTCATGCATTTCTTATTGATTTGTAAAAACTCTTTAAACAACTCAATATAAAAATAAGCAAAGACATGATTAGGCCCTTTACAGGAAAACAAAGACAAGCATTCATAATAAATGCTACTTTTTAAGAAAACAAGTAATAATTAAAAGTGACAAATGTTTAGCCTCACTGATAATGAGCAAAATGTAAGTTAAAACAGTGAGATAGGCCAAGATGTAAAAGAAGAGAAATATTCAGTATTGATAAAAGCATAAGGAAATGAGTTTTCTTATTGCAATGTTGATGCAGCTGAAAATTCTGACGTTTCTGGAGAGTATTTTTGTATGTATGTTAAAGGCCTAAGAGGTGCAATTCCTTTTATTCCATAGTTTTCCTTCTAGGGATTATCTAGGAAATAATTGGACAAATGTGAAATGACATAGGTACCATATGTCCATAATATAACTAAATTAAGTTTCTAGCAGTTGGGGATTCATTGACTTATATTGTAAATCCATTCAATGGACTGTGGTGCAAATGATGGTCAGATTGATGTGAAAATATGCCCACAATATATTAAGTTTTTTAAAAAAACGTCTGGTGACAAAACAGTATGGTTTTATGCTATTTTTGTTTCAAAAAATATTTACAGGAAAAAAGTCTGGGTTTACAGTTTAATTAAATAGTTATCTTAGGTGGGAGTGAGGATTATCATGGCGATTTTTGTATTTTTCTTTATAACTTCCATATTGTCTCTTGTTTTTATGCTAAACATCTATTATTTTTACAATCTCCCCCCCTCCCCCACCAAAATAAATTCATTTCCATTTTGGAAAAAAGACCAAATACAATTTTTTCAATTTTATTCTTAGTACAATAAAATAATATTTTAGCTATAATTACAGACATATTAGTACATTACAGAATTGTAATTTTGTCAGAATATAACAATATAAAATATTCAATATATTTTAAATATAGTTCATTTGGTTATAGAGTAAATATTAAATTAAGTTCAGTAGCAGTAAGTTACATTTGATACATAGAAAAATCTTTGTAAGTTAGCAACAAAATTCAAATTTAAGCATTATTTTAATACTTTCATAAATAAGTTACTTAATAACGTTTATCTTGCAGAAAGAAAGACCTCTGAGAATTTGGTTACTTTAGCACACTGAAATTCCAAAGTTGAAGCCCCAACTTTAGAAGAAACAAGTTATTTACATTTTATCTACAAAGTTAAATCTTTATAACTTTATAAGCTACTCCTAGGTATCTGGAAAATGATGCACTTGAGCTATATTTTATGCTCAGTCTTAGAAGTATGACTGAACCACAACTGAACCACTGTTCACATGGCTTCATTGGAAATTAAGGTTTTAGCATCACTTGTCTTCCTCAGAAGTTAGATACTGATGAGAGGGCAAGAGAAGGTGGAGGTTTGGGGATGAGCAGAGGCCAGTCATTTGGCATTAGCACCAATCAAGGACTTTTATTTATTAGTGTAGTTAAATTACTTACAGTCATCTGTAATTTTAGACTTTAAAAAGAGGCAAGGATTGAGCAATCGTAGCCAATTTTTTGGCTGTTTGTCTAGAGCAGTTTTTCTCAGTCTTTAAAGTGCATGAGAATCATGTTGAGAGCTTGTTAAAACAAAAATTTCTGGGCCCTACCCTCAAGAGTTTCTGATTTTATAGGTCTGGAGTGGGCCCTAGAATTTGCGTTTGTAACAAGTTCCCAGGTGCTGCTGATGCTGCTGGTCTGAGGACCACACTTTGAGAACTATTTGCCTACAGAGGGTTTATGGAGATCAGCTAGCCCTATCTGCCCCATAGTACAATTGGGTAAGTAGAATATTTTTAGTGCAGACAAGTCTTAATATTAGGTGAATCTTAGTAAACAATAGTAAAATGCTGCTTGTCTTAGTTTAGGTGTAAAATGGCTTGGCAGCAGTCATGTGAGCAGTCAAGAATGTACACCATGGCCACAGTCTGTGCTGTCCTCTGGGGTCACATTTTCACTTACAAAGTGATTGACATTGAAGCAATAGCCTGAATTTAAATGTCAGCATCACCAATTCCACCTAGATGGGTCAAGAAGCTTCTTCAAAGCTTTGTCTCATGATGCCTCACCGCTAAGACTCATCAAATAGTGCTACCATGAAGTATAAATGGTTTTTAATGTTTTGTAGATTTCTTTTTTTCATATTGTTCAGACCTTAGCTTCTGCAGTACCTAAGAGAAGCTAGAAATTCTGAGCTTTCCTTGGGCATAGATCTTATTTTTAAACCTTCACTCAAGCCTGCTGAATTATGATGATGAAATATAAAAATGTGACAAAAGAAGAAAAAAGGGAGAGAAGCAACTCATATATGAGATCTTAACAGAAGCAATAAGTTGCCTTTTCTGGGATATTAGATTAGAAACAGTCTCCCTTTTTTCTCTTAGTATCTCTATAATTTTGCACAGTGCCTGGGACATGGCTTGATACCGAATAAAATGCTTGTTTAGTTGAATTAAGTAACCTTGGGAATGTATCAAGACAGTGAAAAGCAAGTTTTAAGACATACAGTTGCCAAGTTGTACAATTTGTACATTAATATTTTTACACAATGAACTCTTTCAATATGATTTGTAAGAATATACAACATAAAAAAAAACTTGTTTTTTCACAAGGGAAGAATTAGAGAAGTAACAATAGAATAAATCTGTAAAACCAGAGTAATGAAATATTTAGAGCAAAGAAAAAATATTCTGAGCCTGATAAGCCAATGAATGCCTTAAATTCTTTTATGGATTATTGAACTACTCAATTATATAAGGTATGCACCAACATTTAAGGGGATGGGGATAAAGTGCACATGCAATGAGTTGTGTCCTTGTTATTAGTGTGGCTGTGCTCGTAAAAGAGGAGTTAAAAGTTAGACACATTTTGAAGTAAACAATAAACATATGTAATAATATCCTACTAAAATTAATTCACTAAGGGTAAAAATGTTATCTACTATGAATACAAGCAGGCTCTATTGTTGCAGTGAAGTGAATTCAATGAACAAACAAACAGAAATCTTCAAAGACATACAAAACAAAAACCATAAAGTATTTCCAAGGCTATTATGGTTCCATTTAGGGAACCCTATTTTGCCCTTAGTTCTGGGTATGTTTGAAAGAATTTTGGAAAATCCATGCATCTCAATTCAATTGTGTTCCTTCAGGCCTCATGCTACTCAACAGGTCTGAAAGTCCAGTTCTATTCTTGATGCTCCAGTATTCTACATGCTCCCATCTCCTTCTCTACCCAGGGTCTAAAGTTTCAGGAAGGGGGCTGCAGGCCTGTGTACAATTGACTTAGCTTCCCTGAGTCTCAAAGACTGAAAGAGAAGAGGACAGATGTTGAGAATCCAGAGGGCCAAATATCTCTTAACTTGTAGCATTCAATCTTCACATAATTGCCATTTAGACTTTGCATTGGATAAAAGTAGAATACGATTTCAGTGATACTTTGTGAAAAATTGCTGCCTCGCCACAGGGAACTTTGAAACAACCTAGATTTAGAGATCAATATCACAGAACTAAATTAAAAGAAATGCTTTGTTGTATGGGGAAACAAATTGAAACTTTGTACTAAGCCGTCATAGAGCAATATTGTTTGGTTAGAAAAAATACCTAAATAAATTCATGTCCTGAGTCATAACTTTGTTATTTAGGATGAAAAATAGCAGTTCTATTTTCTTTGATTTCTTCAACGTCTTCTCTTCATGCACACCTGACAGCGACTTATTATTTTTTCTAACTCCCCAGCTTTTACAGTTGATGGAATAGGTTTTCTGAAATAAAAACAAATCTTTTGATTTATAGATAAAAGGAAATACTTGCTAGGTTTGAGTTTTATTAATGAATGTTGTAGCGGCTCTAAATTTTATTACAGAAACATCTTCCTTTATATAAGAGCTGTATTCTGAAAAAGTACATATGTCTACATTTTAAAATTTTAGTTGTATTTCAGTAGTACTAAGGAAACACAGACCTTGATGCAAGTTTACAGATCATCTTTTTTTGTTGTAAAACTATCCCCACCCTTCAAATAATCTGTATTATTCACAAATCTTCTAATACAGTAAATTAAGATTAGTAGGTCATTTAGTGGTTTTATTTACTAATTTACTGTAAATTCATATGTAAATATTAAGTATGTTGAGTGATGACAAAAATCACTTGTTTTGTCTTTAATGGTATACTAGTACAAAATCATGGCTAACTGTGGACTTGAGAACACTTGTAAACTGGGAGTGCCAAGCTTAACAGGATTTTATTGGCATGGTGGCGGGTGTTAATGTGAGTTCATCAACACATAGATAAAGAAAAGCTAACATAGGCACCTTCGAATAGTTCTGTAATTGAGTCATCAGACCTAGCCCAACAGTGAATAGTTACCTGAACATTCTTTCCGGATTTAACGAAGCCAACCAGAAACTGTAGGAATTTGAATAGTAGTTGCATGTTCCTCTTCCATGACATTCTATAAATGGGCTGGCTCGAAATTCTTCCAAGCAGGAGCCGGGGGATGCCAGAGCTTGCCCAGCGCCCTCAGAACCTGCACTTGTGAACTATCACATAAAAATATCTGAATAAAAACTCTGTCCATTGGTGTTCAAACCTTCAATTCTCTACTTGTGTGTGTGTGTGTGTGTGTGTGTATGTGTATAATATCAGACAATAAGAAAAGAAAGAAAAAACCAGAATGTGTGAATTAAACTTCTGTACTTTTTAATCCAGATTTGCTAATACTCCAGGTATCTTCCAGTTTGAGCTATAGTCATCAAAAAGAAAAGAAAAGCAGTTCCTTCTGCCTGGAGTGCCCCTTGCCCGCAGGTCTGACTGGCTCTTTGCTTTTATTTTTGTTGGCTGGCTGGCCCGGCCCCATAAGGGGAACAAAACTCTTGACATTGGTGTTACAAGGCCATGCTCTAATCAACCGAACTAACCAGCCAGCCCTAACTGGCTCTTTCTTGTCTGCTTAAATATAACCTCATCCTTGTCAGTCTCTCACCTTTTCTTGCCTTATTTCCTTCATAGTACCTGTCACCACCTTAACTCTTGTTACTATTATTGTCATTTTGTCTTCTTGTTTATTGTCTATCCTCCTTGCTAGGACATAAGCTCCATGAGAGCAGAAACAATGGTTCCCAGTGCCTAGAACAGTCATAGCACGTGGTAGGTGTTCGATAAATATTTGTTATGTTAATGATTGAATGAATGGATGACTATGAGTCAAGAAAGAGAAGTAACGTATCATAAACATCGCTGTACTGAATATGAATACCCATGTATGTGCAGCTGTCAGAATCACAGATGGTCAGTCCACAGACTTACTCATTTAGCACTTACCTCTGGGAGATTTTTCTTTAAAAGACTGTTTCTCTTTGTTCTCATCTTTATGTGAATGTCAGGGGCACGGTATAAGGCACAAAGATTTTGGAACAGACAGACCTGGGTTCAGATCCTAGCTTTACCACTTAATAGTTGTAAAACCTTGGGAAAGTTACTTAACTCTTATTTATAAAACTGCAGATGATAGAAACTGCCTTTTAGCATTTCCATAAGGATTAAAGAGGATGTATTTAAAGCAGCTGCCACATTAAAAAATAGGCATTCCATTACCAATAAGTGGTAGCTACTATTCACCTAAATATCATGATTTAGAATTTGTAGGTAATCTCCCAAGACGTCAATTTTTTAAATTCTCCATTATTTACCAAAAGCAACTGCAATTAAACAGAAAAAGTTTACTTGCAGATTTTCAAGCAAATGTCCACAGCATATTGCACATTTGATATCAGGCAGCATCAATTCTGGGAGCCACATTTTACCCAGCACAATGTAAGATTCTACAGGTAATCTTTAACATAAATTTGCTGTTCCTTTTGTCCTTACCATGATGAAAGAAAATCCTTTCCAGAGAGAAATCCAGCCATGGGGACATGAAGGAATGTCCGTGGTCTGACTGTGAATGGCTATGGCAATTGCAGGACCTTCACAGACAATGCACCTGTAACATGAAACAAAGGCTGGCTGCAGCACCCCTTTCTGCACTGTGATGTGCTGCCTTACATTTCCGTACAAGTGAAGGGACTCACTTGGTTCCTTTACAGAACTCAGGGACTGGATTTTTACCTGCTAATGTAAGGCTCAAGGGCCCTCCCGGTAACTGGAGCCATGTCCCTTGGCATCAGAGCTGGTGTTGACAGCCAGTATGAATAATCGTTTCGAGATGCAAAATTACACACATCATTGATGTCACAGAATAAGAATGGCATTGTGGTAAATCTCTGTAGGCAGCTGCCAAGAGTTCCTAACAAAACATCAGCCTGAGTATCACTTTCAGTACATGAAAATCATTTTGAGTATCATTACTATAAAACATAACCTGCAGCAAAAACTGGACAAAGACAACACAAAAGAGTTATTTGCAAAATATGGTATTGAAAAGTTTTAATAATGATAGAAATTGAATATCCAGTAGGCAAAAAAATCCTCCTTCTCCCACTCTTACTACTTTCTGTGGCCCCTTCTAATCAATCTAGAACTTGGGGACTGGTATAGGTCGGTTGGGACAATGCCTTTGCTTGGGACAATGTCAAAGCATTACCAGTATTCATATGTACATAATAGCTAATAAGCAGATAACGTTTTAGGAAAAAAGTTACTTTTGAAATTAAAAAGTAGACAGGTGGTTTAAGTGAAAACCATTTGCATTGAACAGGATGAGCTAGGCTCTTTCCAGTATTTTATATTACAGGATGAAAACTCGACATTAGGCCAATGTTGTTTTATTTGCCTTCTTTAAAATATGCTGGAAGACACTCAAGGTTATCTATGCTTAACTTCAGAGGGAAACACCCCATGCTATAAAATTTACAATCTGTATATGGAACAACATGACCAGAAACTAGGATTGGAATGTTACCAAGGTCTTGTCCATGGGCTCGTTCATTTCCTTGTATAAAAAGAAGAGAAAACCCACTGTAGAGTGGCTCTGTCCCTGCTGGACATGAAGGAATCATTGTTGTTTGACTATGTCGGGTGAAGACGAAGCCTCTCATTGCTGTCCTGGTTGCAGGTGACCCAGTGTCTCCAGGTTTTCCCTTTAAACCTGGCAATCCATCTAATCCAGGTGGTCCTTTAAAAAACACATTGTAAATGTTATTTACAAACAATATTATTAAATGTTAAGCAGTTTATCACACAACACCTATTATTACAGCTATTTGTGTATATCTTATTATGAGTCTTTTGAGATCAGTTCTTCTTTATCTTTGAATTCCCCAGTGAATTCGGGCACAGTGGCCTGCATCTGGTAGGTCTTATGTACATCTTTTATGAATAAACAAACAGATCTTCCTACAATGTGGAGGGAAAAGAGACCAAATCAAATATCTACAATTTGAAAGTCTATTCAAATAGATAATAAAAATTACTTATGTTTTTGGTAAATCAATATACAGTCGTGGAAAACAATGAAAGTTATTTCCAAAGGTTCTAACTTCAAGATTTTTTTTTCCGATCAATTATTAAGTAAATAAAAATAGGAAAGACTTCTTTTAACTGTAAGAAGGTTAGTTTTATTTATATGAGTTAGAAACAAAATAAATGGCTTTTATACTTTGTTTTTTCCTCTGCAGTTGGAATAGGCTAATCTACATTCGTCATTTTAAAATAAGGACCAGGGAGCTATCCCTTCTCCCCTTCCACCTGTCCTTCCCTCTTCTATTCTTCATCGAATAGATATTTATAATACTGGCATTAGCTATCACTTCCTCACTCCCCCATCCACTTCCACTGCCACCGTAACCTGACACCCTCCCTAACCTGACGTGGGCCATGGTCCTTTAGGGTCCTAAGGAAGTGCAGAGAAGGCAGAGACTGTTAGACTTTTGGCTTACAGCATCAAGGGATTTACTGTTGCCCACAAACAACCACACCATGGGAGTCAGGCAGTGTGTCCCAAGTTTAGTCCTGACTCAGAAGTTAGTACTTTTCACAAGGATTTGTAAAAGCCCCAATATGATGTATACATTATTTCAGTCTCCTCTGAATTCTGCTCTCTCCTGTCTTCTCCAGGGACCTTGACCTGTTCTTTGAAATTAAAAATAGGCCACATCCAAATTCTTGAAAGTCTCGTGTCTTACTTGAAAAGTCCAAAATTGCCGTGGTTTTAGTAAATACAGGAGACACACACATTCTTCACCTTTCCTAACCCCTACCCTAATTCGCAGGGGGTTATCATTGGACCCAAGCAAAAGATGCCTCCAGGTCTTTTCACAGAAATCATAAAATGATTAGTTGAGCAGGACTGGAACTGGAGGTGAGCTTGTAGGCAAATGTGCACTATTCAATGCTATTCTGCATTTCCAGGCAAGGGGCCAAGCCTATCAGTTTATGCCAATGCAATTTGACTCTTAGATCCCTTTATCATTCTTATGAGGTCTCCACTTCAAAAAGCACACTGTAAGGAAAGTCGAATGAGTAATAGTTCTTTAATGTGCACTCATGAAAATACTAAATAATAAGTAATTACAGAATTATATAATTAGCATCATAATTGAACTTTTAAGGATTTAAGTCTGTACTCTTTACCATTTTATAGAGGATCTGGGAATATTATATGTCAATAAATTGGGAAATAATATTTAGAATATTTTCTTACCTCAATGAACTCAGAAATCCTAAAAATATAAGATTTGGACATGTAGATATTTTCCAGAAGTGTGCTTTGAAATTTTTGCAGAAGGTTGATTTTTTTTTTTTTTTTTTTTTCCATGTCCGGCAACGGATCGCAACCCTCAGTGTTGCCCCCGTACCGGACCGGGGACCGGCAACGGGATCGCAAGCCTCGGTGTTGCTCCCGTGCCTCGCTCAGCCAGCGAGCGGGAGCCGGTCTGTATGTGGGATCCGAACCCTCGGACGGGAGCGCCGCCACGCTTCCCAAGTGGCGCACCATCCAGTGCGCCACCGGGCCGGCCCAGAAGGTTGATGTTGATATAGGTATCAAACTGATACATATTAGGTCATGTTCAGAATAAAACCTGATTTTTAAGAGGAACCTTTTTAGGACATACACATGAATTGTTGAGTTGTATGAATATTCGAGAATGGCATAGTTAAAAGATGGTTTTCCTAAATAAGGATACTGAGTAGCTTTCTTATTTATATCAAGGTAATATTTTTTCTAACTATGTACTTATGTAACACTCCTATAAGTAGCTATTATTAACTAACAACTCTTATAAGTAATTAAAAACAGTATTGGCCTTTTTGAAGATAGAACACTCACTAGAGCTTCATGAGCTCCATTTGTTCTTAGGCTAAATCGTGCATCAGACTAAAAATTTGGAGCACATCTGCCCAGCTAAGAGGTAGGAAGTGTAGTTTATTCCAATAATTCTTGATTTTTCCATCTTCTTCCAAATGAACATTTCTCCCCTGACCTTTGGTCCAATCTAAACAGTGCAAACTGAAAGACCTGGATTACTCATATAGTCACACACTCAAACAAGACTCCTCTGCATATTGAGACAGCCCTGCTTCATGAGGAAAACAAGCTGGGTCTTTGTTTACCTTGCTCTCCTTTAGAACCTTTGTTGCCTTTTTCTCCAACTGGCCCAGGAGTTCCTGGGTTTCCATCCTTGCCAGGTTTTCCTCTTGACCCACAGGGTCCTGGGCAAAAAACCAACATTGTATTACATTTCATCATATAGGATAATAGGTAAGGTGGCCAACCATCCCAGTTAACCTGAGACTTTCCCATTTCAGCAGTGAAAGTCCTGCATACCAGGAAGACCTTCAGTCCTGGGCAAACTGGGATCATTAGTCATTCAGCTTGTTATCCCCAGTTCCCAGGGGGGAAAGAGATGCTCAAAAATGAACTATGAGTATGTGAAATACAGCAATTTAAAATTGGGCTACTATTTTGATTTATGCTCTTCCAGAATTTGCTGTGCCCATGTATTGATCAAACTAATAAGTAATATCTCTCTTATCTTCTAGGTGGTTCAGGCAAACTTAGAGCATAACAGTTCTACTCAGAAGTCTACTACAATATACTAAGTCTATATAAAAGGGTTGGTTCAATTTCCAAACACCCACATTTTGAAAAGATTTCAAAATCATTTTTTCTAACACTTCACTCTCCAAAGTGTTAGAAAAGTATAAATTCAGACAACTCGAGTACATTTGGGCAATCATTTAGAAATAGAGCTCTAAGACTGACAGTTGTCAGAGGAGATAGACATAATGCCTTTACCTTAATAAAAAACAAAAAACAAAAAACAAAAAACAAAGTGTATTTACTCAACTTTATACTATATACAACAGTTTCCAATCAATTCCAAGGTGTTTTATTTGCTGGCCAAGGGTAAAATGAGCTCAATCCTAAGACTGACTGTAAAAAACACTATCATGTTTAACATTCTCTGTGAAGTTATATTATTTGCTTTCAAAGCACTTTACAGGTATTTTGGTTCAACCATTTCCTAGAGATCCAAGTCAATGCTGCTAGTCCCACACCTAGGTTTCCTGGTGGCCCCAGTGGCCCAGGGTCTCCTTGCATCCCTGGTTCTCCAGGTGGGCCTGGTGGCCCTGGGCTTCCTGGAAGGGAGATGATCTTAACTGTGCCAGGGTCTCCACGTACACCTATTGGAATAAACATAAGAAGAAGATGGCTTTATTGATGAGTTACCCTTTCTTCGTGGAGAGCGATAGCAAGGAAATTCGTATATTTACCAGGTGGCCCTTTTGGCCCAGTTGGCCCTGGAGGTCCAATTGATCCTTGAAATCCTGGATTACCCTTCTCTCCTAAAAAAAAAAAGTCAGTACGATAATACATTAGAACAATGGTTTTCCTAGCTCTTCAGGTTGATGATGAAATCTAAGGATAAATACTGTAAGTTATGACTGGAGATGATGTCGTGTGGGTTCTGTGACAATGACTACAACATAATTATGTTCATGTGGGTTTTGGCATTTCATTTGGACCCAGTTGGTCATGTTTAATTGGTCTGTAAAGAAATATACCCAGAAGCAGGCATTAAGATCTTATATTTTAACATTGAAGGGAAGGGTTCCTAAGAGTTTGCTTTTTGAGTTCAGAAACCTTTTCAATTTAATATTTAAGGTAAAACACAAAATCACATTAAAATCTATTTTAACACCTCCTGGTGAATTATATTGCTGAATTATATGCTTTGGTTGTCATAGTTATCTACTTTCTCAGCTTATCACTCTAGCTTTCTAATAGCCTAGAGTTAGTTATATCAAGAACCTTTAGGAGCACATACAGAATATTTTCTTTGATGTGAACTAAAAAAGTGGTAAGATTTCTCTTCCAATCATAGTCTTTTACATGAATAAAAGAAGGCTACCAAGAGCCATTTATTTGGAGAAATCTATTTTAAAGAATCTTGAAATAGTGTACAACAGATTACTTGGACTTTAATACTAAATATGATATTAATAGAAGAAATACAATAAAATAATTTTATCATCAAAAATTAACTGGCAACTACACTACAAATGATCCACTTGGTATCGGAACTGAGGAAGCTGTTAATTTATATATATCAGGAGAAGCCTAAATGTTTTTCTCTTTAGGGATTAAAACTTTCCAAATAAAGAAGTGCAAATTCATTAGCAGTGCCAGCTGATGGTCTTATTCTGAAATCTGAGAGAGTAACCGAATATATTTGATGGAACATATTTCAAAATAGCTGATTTTAAAAATCTCCCCACTAAATACCTCCAAGAATGTTTCTTTCTCTCGTGGGGCCTTTCTGTAGTTTTCAGATCTTAGGTAGTCTTATTTCAAGACTTGGGAAGTGAAGGGTGTTACACATTTTCGCAGGCTGTCTGCCAGTGTCATCTACCCAATGTTTCATGAGGCTCCTTGGTATCACTTGCTGTGATTTATTCTTTGCTAATTTGCTCCTTAAAGAGTCAGTGATTGAAAGTGTTAAAAAGGACCTCTTTTAAGTCCACCTAGTCCTTCCTTGAACCTGGAAAAAGTTTTCCTTCATGAAAATGTGGCTCTGTTCATGTTGGATACACTTGTTACTTAACAACTCTGTAGTCTGTGATACTTGATTCCTGGCCATGCAAAAACAATACCAGATGAATTAACCAACTAAGACAATGAATCAAATATTCAAAACTTTATTTAAGGCCACAGCACACTTATGGAAGACTTGAGAATTATCTTCTGAAACCTGAAGTTTAAATTTATGTGTGTGAATATTTTAAACTTAAAATCCTCCAAAATTATATATATATTATATTTTTCAGGTTAAAAATATAATACATGTACCCCATAAAAATACAGATGCATAAATCTATGTAAAAATTTACTTATTCTTTCCCCACTAACAGTTTGTTCTCAGATTTTTCACCTTTTTAAAATTATAAAACTACTAACATGGGCATATGGTAATGTAAACAATTCAAAACCGATACTGTTAATATTGATATAATTCTCCATCCCCCATCCCAACACATATACCACTTTAAACTGTTTCTGTTTTTAGTTTTTCTGTAGTTTCCATCCTCAGCTGGGTGCTGGTGGAGTCTTCCTTCCACACTCATATTGAAGTCCTATTTTTACTAACCCCAGCTGTCCATGGTGACTATAGGAGTTCAGTAAACATGTGTGTACCCTAAAATAAGAATGATAATTATTGTATTTGCATCTAAAAAGCAGTGCACAAAAATAGTACCTTTTATGCCCGGAAATCCACAGAATCCAGGATCACCTCTGAGCCCTGGAAGACCTGGGGTACCTGGTGCACCCTATAGTTCAAATAAAATGGAGCAGAACAACAGACAAATGTTTAAAATCACAGTACAGCCTTTTTTAAAAAAAGCAGATAGGATATAATATTATGTTGCTTGAGAATGAACTAAAGTTGACAGATATCATTTTTTATTTTTTAATTCAGTGTTTCACCTGCCTATAACTCCTCTGCCACTTGGACCTCTGCTTAAAATGATCATTAGAAAAGAAAAGAAAAAAAGAATTAAAAACTACCCTTACAACCAAGAGTGAACATACTTTCCAATGTTACTGTCTGTGGTTTTAGTGTTGGATACAATTGGATATTCTGTATCCTAAATAGAACTGCCCAGTATTTGGAGATCTTTCAGGAAGAACAGGCACCAGGTTTCCAGAATGAAAATTATAATCTGTATTTGTAATTCTAGCAAAAACAGTGGAGCCATTGCTGATTCATAGTACCCAAGCATCATTCTAATGAAGCTGGAAGAGCTATAAATTACTCTTGATTAGGGTGGTAGGAGAAGTAAAGTATCCAGGGAAGGGAGCATAAAGGGGTTATCAGGAGAGTTTTTTACAGGGACTTTTGGCTGTAGGAATTGAGACAGAATGCTATTACTTGAGAACAATGAGCAAGGTCATGAGAATGCTATTACTTGAGAACATGAACAAGGTCATGAGAAATGCCAAGTAAAAAACTAGTCTTGGAACTCGATGTCTTTGGAGCAAGAAGACCAAAGAAGGAACAGTCCTATTGCTTGGATAAGGTTGTGGGAGGTTAAAAAAGGAAGACAGAATTATCTGATCAAGGACTGTGCGGCTTCTGTTGTCTGCCTGTTCTCTTGAGATAAAGGTAACTATGGAGGAGGAAGAGTCATCTCGCAACTGCGTGTGTAGAAGCCTATGACCATGAAAGCATCATGGGATTTAAGCAAGATTACACATCTAAACCAAACTTTCTCCATCCCAGTGTCCTAGGAAGGAATTTGCATCTATGTTGGCAACTTTCAAAGAATCATGGAGAACATGAGAGTTACCTACAGACTAGAGATGGGCAATTATGTTATTTTTCAAAAAAAATTTTTTTAAAAAAGGCAGATTCTGGAAACCAAATACCAAGGAAGCTTAAGAGAACCTAACATGATTCCTAACAATAAGCCATGCCGAAGTACCTCATTACCCACCACTGATGAGGTTGGTAGAAATAAGGATTATATCACAGATGTTCTGTATTTTCATATGAGTTGTCAAAACACAGTTTCTCTACCATGTCTTTGTGGACAAAACGGCTGCTGCTTGGAGCCAGCAGGATGGGTTCGGAGCTCGGGAACGAATGGCCAGATCAAAAGGCAGTTAAGATGTTAATTACAACTTGCAAAGAGAATTCTGGGCATGCACAGCTGCTTTGTAAATTTTTTTTTTTTTTTTTTTTTTTTTTTTTTTTTTTTTTTTTTCCGTGTCCGGCAACGGATCGCAACCCTCAGTGTTGCCCCCGTACCGGACCGGGGACCGGCAATGGGATCGCAACCCTCGGTGTTGCTCCCGCGCCTCGCTCAGCCAGTGAGTGGGAACCGGTCTGTATGTGGGATCCGAACCCTCCGCGGGAGCGCCGCCGCGCTTCCCAAGCGGCGCACTATCCAGTGCGCCACCGGGCTGGCCCCTGTAAATGTTTCTTGAATAAATAAATAACCAAGGTGGTCCTGCTTCTTATCTGGAAAACCAGACTTCCACGCCCTGCACCTGCTTAGCCCTCCAGCCTCCTCCTGCTATGAGCTGTCTCCTGCCTCAGCCTGCGGTGACACAGAGCTGTGTGTTGTGTCACTCACACATGCCTGTTGTCTTTTTGCTCAGAAAGCTCTTTTCCTCGCAGCCCCATTGCTCCTACTTTTCTTGTTTTCTAGAAAACTCCTGTGCATTGTGAAGACTCAGGCCAGGGGCATCTCCTCCAGGAGAAATCTTTCCTGAGCACCTTCACTCCACGGACTGGACTAAATACCCTTCCTCCGTGTTCCCATGACCCTCTGCCATTCCACAGTGTGAGAATAGCCTGTCTCCGTATCTCTCACCTTCACCTCTCGTAGGCTCCTTTAGGGCAAAGGACTGTGTCTTTTTATTTTCCTATCCTTTGGTACTGAATAGACTCTCAATAATAATCATTAAACCACACCCGTCTATTCAATATCTGACTCCAAGCACTGGTAAACAGAGGAATCAGCTTTTCAAATCTGCTGTGAAGAGAAAGCTGGGGCAGACAGCTGAGCTGCTGAGGGAGAGAGGTGATATACCGAGAGATCTTAAGCTGGGAGCATGGGCCCAAATGAACAACGTGATGTCCAAGAAAGGTAAATGTACAAGTTCTGCAGCAAGGTCACAAATAAACAAACATCAACGACAAAAAGCTAGACAGGAAATAATGGAGAAAACTTAGTGTGGTCCATGAGGAAAAGGCACATGGCTTTATTTGACTGTAAGCTCAATGTGCAACAACAACGTTAGCCATGGGCAGGGCAGCCAAGTAGCTCGAGTCGAATTTTGGGTTGAACTCCTAAACTGGTGATGTTTGGGACAGTGAGACTCTTCTCTAGACACTCACTGGAGTACTGAGCTCTCACTTCCAGAGGGTGCTCATCCGAGGGACAAACTAGGGTATATTCAGGATAAAGGCAAGGTTGATGAACAGTTAAACTGAATTAGAAAGAACCAGGTATTTATCTGGAAGAAAATAATTGGAAGGAAGTGGCAGCTATTTATAAGCACTGGAAGAAAATAAATAGACATTTACAGGATAGCACAGATAAGTATATTGATAGAGGAAAAATGTGACGTCATTTAGAGTGATTCTAAACTCTTAGCTGCTTTTTGAAGATTCCATCTCTGAAATTGTTCAGAGTCTAAACAAGCAAGTGTCAGGAATGCTGCAGAGGAAAGTTCCATATGGACCAAAGTCTTAGAGGGCCCTTAGAGGCCAAATCTTTCCAACTCTTAAGATTCTTTGATTTCCTGAACCTTCTGGGCTCTGTCATCCCACAGGCCCACTGCACAAATGCATCACAAAATGGGAAATTTTTGCTGCCTCCAGGTACATCTGATCCCGGCAATTGATTTACAAGAGTATAATACACCAATTAATAATAGTAAGTCAATATTATTAATATTCACCATATACAATATAATATACAATATAACAAGTCAGTATTGTATCAATAATTCAAAATAATTTTGCACACTCACCAGATGACCTGGTGGTCCTTTGTCTCCTACAGCTCCAGGTGGACCTTTTGGGCCAGGCTGGCCCATAAATCCTTTATCTCCTTTTATGCCTTTTACATGACTTCCTGGAGGCCCAGGGGGACCAGGATCACCTGAATTCACAAAGAGCTTATCAGTATCACCAGTAAGGGAGCTTGGAAGGTTCTATCAGTGATTCTTCCTAACAAAGTGCACACCCTGCCCCTTATCGTTCCTTTCCTTTTTGGTGTGCGATGGGATTGTGGTAAAGACAGAGTTAGATAAAGCCAGTGAGGTGCCTGGCAGAGCAGGACCTGCTTCTCCTTGATGAAGGTCTGTTAGAGCAGGGTCTGTGCTGCTGCCCTAATACGTAGCCCAGTACCTGATGCATAGTAGGAGCTCAATAAATATTGGTTGAATGGATGCATCTCTCTCTTCTAGGCTTATTAATTAGTTAACTACTAATTGTTCGAACAGGACACTTAGTGCAACGACACCAACAGAATTACTGCACTCTGTGTGAGAACAGATTGGTGTGGGAAGAATCAAGAAGACCAGAGAGAAAAAAGAAGCAACGAGGCAACATGAAGAGAAGGTTGAAAACTTCTGAGGTCAAACATTATTTTCATTCTTTTATGTTATGTTATAAAGTAAACAATCTACTACCTGGGTTTCCTCTCGGGCCTGGTGGACCTCGATTTCCTTTTCGGCCTGGGATGATTGCACCAGGCACGCCTTGTGGCCCGGGGAGTCCTGTTAGGCCAGTAGGTCCTCGGGGCCCAACATCTCCCACTGTCCCTTTCTTGCCAGGCAGGCCAGACAAGCCTGGGGCTCCTCTGTCTCCTTTAGCTCCTGCAAAGAAGAAGGCTCAATCAGTTTCCCTAATGCTCCTATGGTTGGAGTTATAGTTTGTGGTTATCTTTCATAATGTAGGCACTTTGCTTAAAAGTGTTAAGATTTAGAACACTTTTTTTTTTTTTTTAAAAAAGAGGCGATAAATGAAATGCAGGTCTACAAGAACTGAGTTGAGACTCAGTCTGTCTCCAACTAGCCATTTGATCTTGGCAAAGTCACTTCATTATTAAAAGTCTTGGTTTTCTCATTTTAAAAATGAAAGTAATACCTGTCCTAGCTCAGTTCTTTAGAGATCAAGTGATATAATACTCATATACACATGGAAAAGCATAGTATAAGCTCTAAAGTGTTACGTAAATGTAAGCCACAATTATTATCATTGAATGAACTTTAATTGCGATGTCATTATTTTGTCAACAATAATGCAATTGAGCATAAGAAGCTAAACTGTATGGCTCTGAGGTAGGTGTGCATTTGAAGTGCTGTCCAGCTAAACCCGAAGAGCAACGAAGTCGCAATCTTTATTCTGTCCTCTGGTGAATTCTCCCCAGAACACCTAACACTAGTCTGGGAGGGACAAATGTGGCAGGAGGTTTAGATTTACCAAAGAAGACCCCCACAAGCTTGCAACTTTGCATTAATATTTTTCATCTCAGAAAACTGTCAAGAAATTGGTGCTTTGACATTCATAAATGAAAAATGTTGTATGAAATGAAAATAATCTCCCTTCCCACTTCTCCCATCTCTGTGTTACTCTAGAAATAGTAAATGGCATGAAAATAGTGAGGATGAGGCTGGTGGCTCAGAAGAAGGGCTGGGGAAGTCATTAGATGATAAAAACCTAGAGTGCTGATGAAATGAAACTGATGAATATTGAACATCCTGCCCTATTCTACTCACATTCTTTAGCTTTTCAATGCCTGTAATTTATGCATTTAAAAGAAAGTGTTTAGATGACTTCAGCTCACTCTAAGCTCTGTAATGTGTCTTTGTATGGCAGTGACCTGGGGCACCAAGATATCTTGGCTTGTATATTCCGTGTTCATTACAATAATTACTTGTTCTGTAATATGATTTCCTTTTAGGATTTGGGAGAATAAATTTCAAAGATTTATACCTCTCAAGTCTCAAAGAATTCTTCTCCATACTTGTCATCCTGGAGGGATTGAGGCACGTAATCATTTACTTACCTAATTAGGCTATTTGTTATTTTTGAGGCTTTTTAAAACCTAAAGTAGGATCGTTTTATATCGAATTTTATTTCCAATTAAATGCCAGTGTTCTCAGTTCAAAAATGTTAAACTGTGATTTGGCCTAGGAATAGGAACTGAAACTATTTTTGAGCACGATTCTAAAACTAGACTGTGGAAAGGGAAAGGCTTTATGCGCATGGGGGAGGGAGGGTTCTGGGAGACATGGGAACATTGAGCTCAATCAAAAGGACAAACAAATCATAAAGAAACAAATGGAAAAAGACAGCTCTTGTCTGTTCTCATACTTTGTTCAGTCAAGAGGCAGTTCCTGCTCAAGTGATTTTCGCAGGAGCATCAGGCTACTCTCTGCTGGTTCTCTTGAGCAACCATAACTAATGGCCCTTATTGGGTCTAAGTTTCTTTGCTAATGAAATGCTCCGATCCATATAGCCACAGCTGAGAAGGGTCAATAAAAGATGCAAACAATCTGATATTTCTTTTGGCAGGTTTCTCTACAAAATAGAAAAGAGTTCAAAGAAGCTGCTTTTCTTGTAAAACATTGGCATGAGAAATCCAAACTCGAGTCTGTTGAACAAGAAACTTGTGTATACTTTGAATAACACATTCAGTAAATTGCCAGGTCTGAGATGTTGAGAGAGTTAGTGGGTGGCCCTTAATAAACAATAGCACGAACTCCAAGCTGGGTGTGGGGATGGGGATCAGAACTGTGAAGATAACAACATGGGAAAGGATTGGCATGACTGCGGCTACTCAGAATCGCAGGGAGAGGTGCTCGTCGTGCAGCCATCAATTCCACCTCCATCCTTTTAGGAAGTGACACATTTCAACTGTGCTAACCACAACATCAAAGCCAACGAATAAGAATTCTTTTTCTTTTTAAAGACTTTCATAGAAGGAAATTCCAAACTTGGATCAGTTTCTAATTCATCCCCTTTGTTGTAACAGTAATAATGAAATATTTTTAATTGAATACTAAGACTATAAATATCTTATATTACCACTGAGATGTCTTTAATTCACCACGTTAAGTTTATTTTGTATATCAAGTATATTACATTGGACTCAGTCATTGGAAATGTGTATCATTAGGTCAGGAAAGAAGATCTGCTCACCTCGAGCACCAGGATTCCCTCTTGGGCCTGGATGTACCCCCAGCAAACCTGAAAGAGATGATTTTGGCATATTAATATTTAGTTAATTTCATTACATTATATATGTGTGTGTGTGTGTGTGTGTGTGTGTGTGTGTATAAAGGAAGTTTAATAATTACACACCAAGACCATGTTAAAGATCATCAGTTCTATGAGAGAAGAACCTTCAGAGCAGTGAACCATCACAATGTCACTAATGATTCTAGTCAAAATAAAACTAGTGGAACAAAGATAATGAGCAAGTTATACCCATGTCTCCCTTTTCTCCAGATGGACCAGGAATTCCATCATGTCCTTGGTTACCTCTCACACCCATGGGTCCAGGAGATCCTGGCAATCCTGGAAGGCCTGAAAAAAACCAAAACAATGGCATTCAAAGAGAGGACTTATTTCCTACTAATGGTCTAATGTGAACACCAGTGAGATGTGTGGAATTTTATTAAAGGTGCTATTTTTTCAGAACTGTAGTTATGTGAAGCTAAGTTCACAGTGAAAACTATGCACAGATTAATATTATCATGAAGATTAACACTTTAGTATGCTTAGGTTGACAGATACTTGAATCAGATAGGTAAAAATATCTAACCCCACGTTTCTGCATTTTTTTGTCTGGGTACTGAGTACCTAGGAGCTACCTTCTAAAGAGCAGTAGGTGCTGGCAGGTTAGCTCATTTGGATAGAGTGTGGTGGTGTAACACCAAGGTTTAGGGTTTGGATTCCCATACCAGCCAGCAGCCAAGAAAAACCCCAAAAAACTAAAGCACAGTAGGTATACAGAGGTTTTTTTTCTATTTTATTTTTTAAAATTTCATTTTAACATGACCTACAGAGATTCTAACCTGAGGAGTAATGTGCTTCCCTTATGAAAGAGAAATAGAGAAAATACAAAATGAAACCTGGAGGGCCTTTTCTTCCTGGAGGGCCGAGGCAGCCTTTGATTCCTTTAAACCCCAAATCACCATCAGGACCCGGCTTTCCTAGAAATGAAGAGAGAAGGGAAGAAAAAAGAACACAAATATATAAATGATTACAGTGGTGACCAAAACAGGCAGTCCTTACAGTCAACTGTGCTGAAGCTAGCCTTAAGGAAGCTCTCTCTCTCTTTTTTTTTTTTTTTTTTTTTTTTTTGCTGACCAGTAAGGGGATTGCAACCCTTGGCATGGGGTTGTCCACACCACGCTCAGCCAGTCAGCACATCAGCCATCCCCACATAGGATCTGAACCCGCGGCCTCAGCCCAACAGCGCCGCACTCTCCGGAGTGAGCCACGGGACCGGCCCAAGGAAGCTCTCTTATTACAGGTCACCCCTGGCTTTTGTCCTGGCTGCTGCTTCCTCAGGAACCCCCAGCATAGATGTGTCGAATTGTTTTCAAAGTGTGTGTACACCAGCCGTGTGGACAGCTCAATAGCCAACATTGTTTTCACTGAGTGTTAACTGCAAACTATTGAACCTTTCAGTGTTTGAACAGATAGCTTAAATATTGTCTTTAAGTAAGGGCTGGAGCTGCAATCCAATAGTTTTTAATGAAACAAAACTGAAACTGAAACCCAAAGTTAAGCTAGTAAGAAAGAAAACCAATGTTGAACCTGGAAACATGCCAGAAAAAAAGATTCAAAACAACAGAGCTATGGGTGGACCCCAAATTCATATGCTGAAGTCCTAACCCCCAGCACCTCAGAATGTCACTGTATTTGGAGACAGAGCTGTTAAAGTAGTTAAGTTAAGAGGTCAATAGGGAAGACCCTAGTCCAACGGGAACGGTGTCTCTATAAGAAGAGGAGACACAGACACATAGAGAAAAGACACAAGGAGAAGATGGCCATTTACAAGCTACGTAGAGAGGTCTCAGGAGAAACCAGCACTACCAACATCTCAGTCTCAGACTTTTAGCTTCAAGAACCATGAAAAAATAAAATTCTGTTGTTTAAGCCACCCATTCTTTGGTATTTATTAGAGAAGCCCTAGCAAACTAATACAGACATCATGATTATGTAATGAACTAACATTTTGTGTCCTTAGGCTGAATTTGTTGAGGCAGCACTTCAAAATTTTGTTTATGGGAGCAAGTTTCTAGATTTCAGTCCACCAAATGGGCTGATCAGTAAAATTAAGCTCCTCCTGATTAGTTTGCTGTTTCATAGTGTCTTAGAATTTGAAGTTCAAAGTTGAACGAAAGCAGTAGCAGCACGAAAGCACAAATAACTTTCTGTTTACTCAGAAGACTCTAGGAGGTAAAGACCGTACTATGAGAAATGCTTCCAGCTGCCAGAATTTTAATGCCAAAGCTCACCTGGGTGGCCAGGACTTCCGGGACTTCCAGGGGCTCCCTCAGATCCAGCCGGCCCTGAATGTCCAGGTGGGCCGGGTGGCCCCTTTTCTCCTTTCTTTCCCATGTCACCTGGCAATCCTGGATCCCCCTTAAATTCAGTCAAACACCTTTAAAATTCTCATATAAGCAGGATATGTGATTAGAATTAAGTATAAACTTCATTCATTCATCCATTCATTCAGCAATTTATCTTGTGTCTACTATGTGCTTATACCATGATAGGTTCCAGGAACAGGGTGGCTACATGGTTTGTGGGGTCCACTGCAAAATGAAAATGTGGCTCCCTTTTAAAAAATTTTTTAAGAATTTGAAGACAGCAATGGCAGAGCTTTAAACCAAGCTTGGGGTCCTTATTAGCACGGGACCTCTGTGACTACACAAGATGTATACCCATGAAGCCGGCTCTTGCCAAGATATAATGGTAACCATATACAGATATATGATATATACAGTCCCTGCCTTCTTGAGGCTTCAGAGACCAGTGGCGAGATAGATATGAAATAATCACACAAATGTATAATTGCAAATTGTGATGACTTACTGTGGGTAAGAGAGAAATAGACTAAATGAGTAAGTGTCCTACAAATTCTATGCATGCAGATAAATGTAGATCAGTCACATGTTTAAAAACCTTTCAATGATTTAATATTCATTAAATCTGTACTTCGGTTTTATGATAAGCCAGAATATATGGATTTGATGGTGACCTAACAATATTTCCATAGTAACTGATTAAAATATACTACCCTGTTCCTATGATTTGCTAACATTCTGGGCTCAAGGCACAGTTCTAAGAATTTCTTCTGGTGGCTACTTATGAAAACCCTAAATCTAAATGAAACTATTAATTAACTGAATGTGAATGAAGTCAAATAGAATTCCTTATCAAGAGAATAACTCAGTGGAAGAGTCTCTGTCTGGTTTTCTGAAGACCCACTTTAAATAGAAAGAGCAAAGAGAATTTGTCTGTCCAAGTAAAAATAGTTGCTTTCTTGGGTCTAGTAGTAGACCCAAGTAGTGTGGTGTCTACACTGTTTCTTTCTTGTTTAAGTAATTACTACTGGAGAATATGGCTGATAGAAATATTTAAGGAAAGTGGTATTCTATTGGCTCTAAAGAGAAATGGAAGCTTTCCTAAATAACATTTTTATATGTTTTGGTGTCATATACTTTTGAAAATCTGATAAAAAAATATAGACTTTCCCCTACAAAAACATTTTCAAACATTTTGCATTTAATTTCAGGAGATTGGTGGGCTTGTAGGGATCCCATCAATTCCCCTAGGGTCCATGGACTCTCCTGTTAAAAATCCCTTCTTACAGAAATTTCTATTAATTATTTTCTAGTAGTAAAGTTTTGGTGCAGCATGGCTGCTGTACACAGAAAAATATAAAGGAAATAAACCAAAAAAGCAACCAATCCCTGCTGAAACACTTGGCTGTTTCTTTGTACAATACACCAGTGAGAGCTCTGACGTCCAACTTCAATTTGACAAAGAACAAGCACCAAGAACATTGAAATGGGATTAAAAAAAAATATTCTGTGTAATCGAATGAAAATGCTTAAAGTTCTAAAACACTTAAGAAAGATCAATGTATGTATCTTAGGTTTTGCTTGCTTTTTAACAATACTCTAAAGTTATTTTATTTTATGTCTTTTATTATGTCTTAATAAGACAAGTGTTTTTGATCACAAGGTTTGGAGATTTATAAATCTGTGTGAGATGACTCCATAGCAAAGACTGGCCACTTTGTATCACAAGAAAAAAAAACTATCCTGTCTGATCGTGTGGGCTCTAATCCCTGCCTTCTTCTGGCAGCACACTTAAATTGCAGGGACTGTGAGAAACTTGGTGGTTGACATAGGCTTTCAGAAGTTGGCAACTATGTGATAGTCAGGAATCCTCAACAGTGGAAATAAGATTCAAAAAATCCAAATAACTACCTGAAAGTACAGTAATATATTTTTTTTTCCTTTTTTTTTTGTCTTTTTTTGTGACTGGTAATGGGATCACAACCCTCGGTGTTGCGCCCACACCGCGCTCAACCAGTGAGCAGACCGGTCTCTATATGGGATCCGAACCCTCGGCAGGAGCGCCACCACACTCCCAAGCGCCGCACTCTACCGAGTGCGCCACCAGGCCGGCCCATACAGTAATATTTTCAATTTTCTCTGCCCACATTGAATCTGAATACTTGTTGATGTTTCAAGGGGCTGACACCACACTACCAAAATATAAATATTACAGTGGCCTATATACCTGTGGTCCTGGCGGTCCTGGCCTTGTACCTTCTGAGGAACCTGGCTCTCCCTTATCTCCTTGGAGACCGTGAATACCTGGGAGGCCTGGTCTTCCAGCTATCCCTGGGAATCCCAATGCTCCCCTTTTTCCTTTAGAACCTGAAATTAGGAAAGACGTCAGATAAAACAGATAAACACAGGGATTTTGAAGTGTTCTACCTTTGACCTTTGCAAAAAACATCTACCTCTCAACAAATTGGTTTTTCAGAATTACAAATGCATCGGGTAGTTGTAGTGGATGATTTTTATATAAAACAAATATTTATTTTGTTCCCACTCGTTTTCTATTTGCACACAGTACCTTTGTCTAAATCCAATTGTTTTGCACAAACTTTCTACCAAGTAGAAAACCAAAACAACACAGAAAATGTAGAATGATGACCCATCATGAGCTTCTAGGCTCATAACAGGCCCTTATTGTTACCTGGCATGCCCATGTTCCCCGTGCTTCCTGGCACGCCACGTGGTCCTGGTTCTCCAGGATTCCCTGTGATGCCTGCGTCTCCTCTGGGGCCTTGAGAACAAATAAATAGTCATATGTTCTGCACAGTTCCTGGCCATAGTAGGTGCTCAATAAATATTTGTGTCTTGCTGAATGAATGAATTGAGAACAGCCAGACCAGTTGGTTGGGGTACTTGTTTAGCTGCCCTTTTGCCTTCAGATGAGGAGGGGATGAGGGATCTAGAACATTTTTTTTTTTTTTTGTCTTTTTTCCGTGTCCAGCAACGGATCGCAACCCTCAGTGTTGCCCCCGTACCGGACCGGGGACCGGCGACGGGATCGCAAGCCTCGGCGTTGCTCCCGCGCCTCGCTCAGCCAGTGAGCGGGAGCCGGTCTGTACGTGGGATCCGAACCCTCGGACGGGAGCGCTGCCGCGCTTCCCAAGCGGCGCACTATCCAGTGCGCCACCGGGCCGGCCCAGGGATCCAGAACATTTAAAACTGGAGAAAGTTAGATTTGTATCAGCAGGCCTGGATTTCAAACATCAAAATCAATCATTCAACAGGAATGGGTGGGCTCCTGTGACCTTATAGTAATATGTTTCCAAATGCAAACTGGAGTTTTATTACCATATAATACATTTTGTTACTGAGGTGATTATGGGGAATAGCAAGCTACCTTAAATGTTTTAAAAGCACAATAATTTATTTCAAAAAGAAAGGCATATCTGAAAATTCTAAAGCATTGTCTAATTTTCATCACTGATATGTGATAGGATAGTTATAATTTATAATATATCTAAGCAATCTCAAAATAAAATTTTGAGTACAAAAATGGAACTAGGTGGAGATTAATATCTTTTAGTTAATTCATATCAACTATAAGCACCTTTGTTTTAGATCAATTTAGAAGCAAATTTCTGCTGGAACACTGTTCGAATAGAATTCATATTTAACCCAATAAGTCTAGAAACAAGTTCTATTACTTTTAGATCTAGGAAAACTTAAAACATGATATTTCTTTTTTTCTTTTTTTTTTTTTTTTTGTGTCCGGCAACAGATCACAACCCTCAGTGTCGCACCCGTACCGGACCGGACCGGCAACGGGATCGCAACCCTCAGTGCTGCGCCAGCACCTCGCTCAGCCAGTGAGTGGGAACCGGTCTGTATGTGGGATCCGAACCCTCGGCGGGAGTGCCGCCACGCTCCCAAGCGGCGCACTGTAGCAGTGCGCCACCGGGCCGGCCCTAAAACATGATATTTCTATTAGAGAATCAGCAATACCTGGTGGTCCTGGTGGTCCAGGTGGTCCTTTGAGGCCTTTTAGACCTGGTAACCCCGTAATGCCTCTGTTTCCTTTCTCACCTGGATTTCCTGCAAATCCTAAAGTTAAAAATCAGGTATTAAAAATACAGGTTAGAATTTTGTCAGACTCATCTACATTCTAGTTTAATTAATTTAATTATTATAAAATATCACAGCATATTTGTTAAGAGGATGGGCAGATGTGGACTTATATCTTTTTTAGAAGAGGATTAAATGAGATAATATGTGTAAAGCATTAGTACGTTGACTGGCATGAGCTAGTCCTCGATGAACACCAGCAATTGTCATAATATTTACCCTTTAAAACAATGATTAAGAAGTAGCAGTCTAAATATCTCTTCATTTTTAATAGTAAAGACAAAGCACTAAATGTTACAGTATTCTCATCTACACTATTCCACTCTCAATCCATTTATTAAAATTATTATTTATTAAGTGTTAGGTAAGTCCAAGGTCTTACCTAGAGTCAAAATGTCAATCAGTGGTAACATTGGGATTGGAACCCAGTTCAACATGACTGGGAAGCTCCCCAGGACACCATTCTACTTTCTCTAAAACATGGACTTGATTATATTCTCCTGCTCATAAATATTCATGGATTCTCTTGCCTGCAGAGTAAATTATAAACTCCTTTGGCTGCATGAAGCATTCTGCAATCCATCTATGGCCTGGCTTTGTGCCTTTCCTTAAGTGCACTCACTTCCCTTGGCTGCCTTCCTGCTTGCATATTTATTCACGCACTCACATATGGATTCAATATCTAATTAACAGACAGGTCTTGTGCTGAGTACTGCAGATATAAATAAATCATGTTCTCTTTTCCTGAGTTTTTAGTGTTTAATTGGGGAGACAGCCAAATAAACAAGCAATTACCACCCAGATAATTTCTGTGAGAGAGTTGGGCACAATACAATACAAGGAAGACTTTCTGGAAGAGGGGACATTTTTTAGACAAGTCTTGAAGATGAAATGAAAGCTAATTAGGTGAAGAAAGTATGGAATGACACAGGATTCCCAGGCAAGAACACAGCATGCACAGAGGAGTGGTGAGTAGCAGGGAGTTAGATTATTTTGTTTTTTCCATTTATGTCATTTATTACAATCTAAAAATATATATGGTTTAGTGTGTTCATTTGCTTTAGTTTTTTAGGGGTTGGCAAAATACAGCCTTTGGGCCAAATCTAGCTTGATTTTGTCTGGCTTGAGAGCTAAGGACGGTTTTTACATTTTTAAAAGTTTATGAAAACAAAAACAAATAAAAACCAAATAAGAACATGCAATGGGAACCCTATGTGGTCCCCAAAGCTTAAGATATTTACTAGTTGGCCTGTACAGAAAATGTTCACAGGACCATTAATGTCTCTTGTCCTCACTAAACTCTTAAGTTCATCATGACCGGGAGACTTAGTCTGCTTTATTCACATCTGTATTCAGAACACAGTAAAATGCCTAGTCTACAGGTATTAAAAAATCATTGTTGAGTACATGAATGTCATGTGGCTGGAGAGATGGACAAAGGGCAAGTTGTGAAGACATTTGTACACCAGTCCAAGAAGTTTGAATCTTTAAAGCAAGGGGAGCCTTGGAAAGACTTTTAAACCAAGAGTATTATTTGCTCATCTGAATCCTACTCACAATTTAAATCCTCTTTCACAGAGGATTGTCTGACTGTCCTAGTTGCTGTGCTTTCTGCTTCTATCAGCTCCTACAGAGCTCACTGTCAGTGGTACCCAGCAGCACAGTGAAGAGGCCGAGTATGGGCTTTGGAACCAACCACGTCAGTGGGAGGCCCATCTCTGCCACTGCTTACAAGAGTGACATTGGGTAAGTAACTTGAATTCTCTATTCCCTATCTGTAAAACAGGATGGTAGCAATAACAGTACCCACTCCTAGGGTTGTTGGGAGGATTAAATGAGTCAATACTTGTAAAACTTAGAACAGTACCTGCACATGGTAAGTGCTGCACAGGCCTTTGTTAAATAACATTACACTAGTTTGCATCTTGTGTTACTATCTTTTCACACATGTGCCTAAGTCTGCATTGCAGACTCCTTGAGTAGAGGACAATGACTGTGCTTATTTATACCCTCAATATTTCTTCCACATTCCCAGTGGATATCAAGTCAGAAAATCAGATTCTAAAAAATGTATCATACTGAAATTACAGAGGCCTAGATAACATGTTGGCGTTTTTTTGTTGTTGTTGTTGTTATTGTTGTTGTTGTTTGTTTTTGTTCCGTCTGTGCTCCTTGTTATGCATTTGAAAAGCTACAAGAAAACATATGGAAAAGCTTTGATGCATATGTACTTTGGGTGAGTAAAAGAATTTTGTTAGAGACATAGAAATAGCATGTGTCCCTCTCTACTTTACAAAAGGAATTATTTAATTGTAAATTAGTACTCATTGTGCATTTATGCTGTGAGAGCCAAATTTTGGCTTATGTAGGCACAGATATGCTATTCATATTTTTTTCAAATTGTTTCCAGCACTACCTAAATAATCTAAAATAGTGCAGTGAAGTGGTGTCTATACAGACAGTTTATGAGGACTGTAAATTTGTGCCAGTATTTTTTGGTTTTTTTGATATCTTGGCTTAGACCAGTTCTAGCAATTTTATAAGATTCATATTACTTTCTATTTCATTGCTAAAAATGGAATGCAATCTTCTGTATGAACCAGAACTAAATGTCTCTTCAACACCAGAATAAATGGGAACTACCCAGAAGGCTTTTACTTCCTAACTCTCCTTTATGGAAAAAAAAAAATACTTCCTATAAATTGATTTTGTCCAATGATTATCCACTTTTTCAATTGGCAAATTGGAATCGATCACTCATCAGAACTCTGGTCTGATGTCACTTCCATGAAGTCTTTCCTAACTATTCAGTCTTTCTAGCATGGTCTACAGAACTATGCAGAATTTTTAAACCAAATCTTTACTCAGACTACAAATCCTTATATGCCAAGCATATAAGTATTTGTTGAATACAATCTCACTTCTCAAAATTGATTACAAGTTTCTTAAAATTTGATATGGTTTTGCAACTGTGAACATTTTCTTTTATTCCTTCCCTGCTATGAAAGTTTGATCTGCAAGGGTAACATTTTACTCAGCAATTCTCTGTTTTTCTAAAGTTACTTGGGATTAAATTTGGTCAGAGAGATGGCAAGGGAGGCCTTTTCAACATCCAGTTTATGTTGGTTGTATTGATCGTATTACAAAAACTGTCCCCAAAAGTGCTCAAATAGCTTGAAATAATTTAAATGTTAGGTTTGAATTTTAGCCTAATAATCACACTTAACAATTAACAGAATTTCTAAAGGACAAAATTTTCATTAAAACATACTTTCTTTTTAGTAATCGTTCCCCAAAGGATTTTGAGCATGAGAAGCAGTTTTTAGGTGCAATCAGAAAAATTCATCCTGGTAGTAGACAGAATAAAGTAGAATTTGTGGTGGAGGTTCAATTTCAGCCAGAGAAGTTTTTTAATGCAAAATTTTCTAAAGGTTTCATTTTTCCCATACTTGCCCAGAAAAGGGGGGTGGGGAGAGTTGGGGCTTATAATTTAAAAATTGGCTAGTGACTATTTAAATACCTCAGACCAAAATGCAGAATTAACTTAGAAATAAAAAGGTATGCATTAAGGAAGCAATCTTACTGAGAAAGGCACGTAAGACTCATTCTAGTTTGCTCTCAGCTACCAACTGGCTGTGTAACTTGGGTAGGTAATTAAACTCATTGTCTTCACTTGTCAACTAAAGGGATTTGCCTGGATAATTTCTTAGTCTGAGAATCAGCTCTGACGTTCGGATCAGAAACATAAGACATTCCTTACCTTTGAGCCCTGGCTCTCCTTTGTCTCCTGTTAGGTGGGATATCTGAGAAGGCCCAGGGTTTCCTTTATCTCCCTGTTCCCCTTTGGCTCCTGGGGGTCCTCTCCTGCCCTTTACTCCTGGAATTCCAAGATGACCTAACAGACGGGAGTAAAACAATATCAGGTCCTTAATTTTTTAAGTGGTTCATAGGGATTTAAAAGTTAACAGTACTTTCAATAACATAGAACTAAGCAAACAAATAAAAAAGGTCAAAAGTGTTGAGAACTTGATAAATAGTTTCCCCGGACAGGCAGCCACATCAGGGTAGTGGTATTAGTCTGAAGGGAGATAATAAGATTCTACTCAAATGGGAAAAAGGAATACAGGAAACCCCAGAATCAAATACATTGTTCTCTCAGATCTATTTTTCCCTCAAAGAATGAAATGTAATTTATTTCACTGCTAAATAAGTGATCATTGCTCATGCCTCCTGATTTCTGGATGACACTCTGTCACTCACCCCTCTGCCCTGGAGCGCCTGGGTTCCCAGGAGGCCCCGGAGGGCCAGTCGTTCCAGGATAGCCCATCATCCCAAACATTCCTTTTTCACCTGTGAAAACAAATGACACAAAGCAGCACAGATTGTACATAATGAGAAATGGAAAATATTACATAAAATTAAATTACATTTAGAAATAGAGATTAGGAGTTGAAGGAATGGTTTCTGGGTTTCTGTAAATAGGAACGTAATCATATTTCTTTAGGAGGTGGGTCAGAAAATGATCTTTTTTTTTTTTTTCCTTTTTGTCTTTTTTTGTGTCCGGCAACGGATCGCAACCCTCAGTGTCACTCCCGCACCGGACCAGGACCGGCTACGGGATCGCAACCCTTGGTGTTGCACCCGCACCTTGCTCAGCCAGCGAGCGGGAACCGGTCTGTATGTGGGATCCGAACCCTCGGCGGGAGCGCCGCCATGCTCGCAAGCGGCGCACTGTAGCAGTGCGCCACCAGGCCGGCCCAGAAAATGATCTTTTTTACCTCATCTATGGAAAAGTCATTGGTAGCAAATCACATTTATGATGTGAATAGAATATGTTGAAGTTTTAGAGCATTTTATCCTCTCACCCCTGATCAATAGCTTTCTATCGTATCCCTTTACTTAATTTTCTACATAGCACTTTGTCTCTAGTTAAACTTAGTTTTTAAATGTATTTATTATTGCTTCCCTATTACAGGATGGGGAGTCTTGTCCACCAATGTATCTCTAGTGCCTAGAACAGTGCTAGCATGTGATAGTAGCCCAATAATATGAATGACAGAATAATTTGCCAATTAAGAAGTTATTCTAGGCTCTTCTCTGGAGAGGCTATTCGTGAGGTTCTCATGCCATGAGAAAGCTGATAGAATATTCTCCCCGGACACATAAACTATGAAAATAGCCATGAAATAAAAAGGATTATAAAGGAATATTAAAAATAATTCTATGGCAACACATTAGATGACTTTGATAAAATGGAAAAATTCCTAGAGAAACACAGATTACCAAAGCTGACTCAAGAAGAAATAGAAAATGTAAATAGACCTATCACAAGTGAAGAGATTGAATTACGAATTTAAAGACTTCCCACAAAGAAAAACCAGACTCAGATGACTTTACTGCTGAATTCTACCAAATGTTTAAAGAATATCAATGTATCACAAAGTCTTCCAGAAAAATACAAGAGGAGGAAATACTTCTCAGCTTGTTCTATAAGGCCAGCATTACCCTGATACCTAAGCCAGAAAAAGACATCACAAGAAAACCACAGACCAATATCCCTTGTGAATATGAATGCAAAAATTCTCAACAAAATACTAGCAAATATATAATAATAGAAATATGTGTAAAAAGGTTACATAGCAAAATAGCCATATCCTGAATAATTGTGAAATGTAATATCCCACCATCACCATTTTCCTGTACTCTGGCCCCTGGTCCCTTACAAATAAGTCAGAAGGAAAAAGTTATACTAACTGAAAGAAAAGCAGAATCCAAGGCCTATCCCTATGTACAGTTTACTGAACCACCTTAAAGGGAAAGTGTGGAAGAAGATATAAGAAAAATAAAAGCACAAAAAAGAATACCTGGAGGCCCTAAAAATCCTGGATTTCCTGGATATCCTTTTTGACCAGGTGGTCCCATCTCACCTTGATGTCCTGGCATTCCTGGTGGTCCAGGTGCTCCAGGAAATCCTGACCTATCCAAACCTGGAATCCCTGGGTCTCCTTTTGGTCCTGTTTCTCCTCTTCTGCCTATATGGGAATGAATAAATGAATGAACAAATGAATGAGTTAACTCACAAGTCCACAAGTCTTTCCCTATATATATATATATATATTTTTTTTTAATTAGATGACGGTAAGGGGATCTTAACCCTTGACTTGGTGTTGTCAGCACCACGCTCTCCCAAGTGAGCAAACCGGCCATCCCTATAAAGGGATCTGAACCTGCAGCCTTGGTGTTATCAGCACCATACTCTCCCAAGTGAGTCACGGGCCGGCCCTCCAGAAATATTTTAAGGCTGTAAATAACTAACTGTGTGATTTTGGGTAAACTGCACACCTACCTCTGCGTGTGTGTGTGTTTGTGTGTGTGTGTGTATTTATTTAATGTCTCCCTTTGTAAAATTTCTAAGATTCCTCCTGGATCTAATATTCTCTGTATCAATGATTTGTAGAGTAATAAAAGTGTAGTATTTATATCTATTTTTTAGTCCTGCAGGCATATTCTGGGATTGCACTTTATAATTGTTGCTCAGTCTTTAACCTGTAGAAAACATACAAAGCCACTCATGTGGAGATGAGTCACCAGATGCTTCTGGAAACAATAACAGCACCAGTATAATAATTAAGGTCTTGGCCACAAATTTATTTGTGAACATATAGCCCACAGACATTAACTGAGTTGTAAAGAATTTTTCCCAGAAATAGTTCACCAGATCTGGTTGAGACGAACCAAAAAGATAAGAGTTTTCCATTATCTGGAACATCTAGACTATATCATTGAGATTTATTTTCATGCCTTTTCTTTAATGTTGCTTGTAAAGCAATGAACTACATATTTTAGTTTATAACTGGTTAAACTGAGTATCTTTGCACTTATTTACTCTTACAATAAGGATAAATTTGCCTCTTTAGTATACTTGTGCAAGTATTAAAGGTAAAATATTGCCTGTGAGCTTATATATATATACACAAATAAATATGCAAATACACATCTATCTATCTATCTAATCCATCTTCAGTGTTCATATTTTCTTGCATAAAAGACTCAGACCAACTCACTATGTTAATTTCAGGCCTCTTCCTCTATAAATGGTATATACTGCCATGTGCAACAAATCCATGACAGCAAAGTTTACGTTTCTGAAATAACATTTCTTACTGAACACTGGTCAGAACTTGCTGCTGGAGAGACCCCATGTTAAGCAGCAAAGTGCAGAGCAGGAGTCCCACATCTACCTGGAGACTGGTTTCAAGGCCGTCCTCCTACCTTGCTGCCCTTTCAATCCATTTAAGCCTGGAAGTCCTTGGGCTCCCCTGGGACCCTCTATGCACTTTCCTGGGGGTCCTTTTTCTCCAGGTGGCCCAGGCTGCCCTGGATCTCCTGCAAAAGAGAGTCCAAAAATATATTCAGGTGCCCAAACTCAAGATCCTAGTATTGCTATCCCAATCGTTCTTCCGTAACTTTTTTCCTTCCTACGTCAGACCTATATTTAATACCATTAATATGACTTTTTATAGAATATACTCACGAAAAAAGGAAAGAAGAAAGGAAGGAGTAAAGAAGGAAGAAAGGTGGGGCAGCAACGTTGAATGGGAAAATAATTAGGCCCTGGGAAGCTCACAGTGGAGAAAAGTAATCACACTTGCTGTTATACCTTGTGGCCCATCAAACCCTTCATTTCCTGGAATTCCAGGGAGACCGGGAAGCCCAGGGAGTCCAATTTCTCCTCTTTCCCCAGAATTGCCTCTTTCTCCTGGAAAACCTGGTGTTCCTGGTTCTCCACGCATGGCTAGTGCTGGTTCTCCCTATAGCACAGAAATCATGTTAGTTTTACTACATAATGCTTCCAAATCTTCATTGGCTATTGATTGGATTTTAAGGCTATTTACATGGAAATAGCCTCTCTGTTGTAGAGGCTCTAAGTTCCTTTTGCACAGCGATCACCATTCCATCAACTTTCTTTTTTCAACTCTGGTTGCTAACTTTTCTATAAAATTATGCTAATAATTCTTCAGGATATGTAACCTCCACTTTTTCAGAAGACTGTGGAATTATCTGCAAACAGAAAAATCTAGATATCTTTACTTTCGGTAGTTTTTCTCATAACTACCCACGTTTCTTTCCAGAGTTCTCCTATTTTAAATACTCTGAATGTTTATGAAGCTTAAAGAAAGAAATAGAGATATAAACCTGCTTTTTAACACCTTCTGTTTTTCTTTCTAAAAGGGCGGGGTGGTACAGAGAAACTTTAAAAAAATATTTAACATCTTCATCTTCTACAAATATATTGATAATTTCTATACCCAGAGCATCCTGCCTTGTGGGGGGCATCCTAACTGGCCAATTACAACCACCCTTCCTCTTCCCTATGTCAGTCTGAGTTTTAATTCTTGCAGACCTTGGCTCCTGGGGGTCCTGGCTTTCCAGGTAACCCGGGCTCTCCCATTTTTCCAGGACAACCCAGTGATCCTTTTGTTCCTGGAAAACCTTGGTCTCCTACAGAGAAACAAACAATAAATATTACAGGATTAGCCTTATTGAAAGATTCTGAACAGTATCTCTCTTATTTTATCTAATGTTTTGTTAGGCAACCAACTAGAGATTTTTTTTTGTCTTTTTCCGTGTCCGGCAACGGATCGCAACCCTCAGTGTCGCGCCCGTACCGGACCGGGGACCGGCAACGGGATCGCAACCCTCGGTGTTGCTCCCGCACCTCGCTCAGCCAGTGAGCGGGAACCGGTCTGTATGTGGGATCCGAACCCTCGGCGGGAGCGCCGCCACACTTCCCAAGCGGTGCACTGTAGCAGTGCGCCACCGGGCCGGCCCCCCCTAGAGATGTTTTTATGGAAGTTTGAATCATGAGAAAATCAACTGCTGAATTTGCAATGAAAAAAAAATTTAACTCCAAGTCAAATGATTTGGTTCCCAATCTAAAAATGACTTTCACCATTTTTGTTGTTCAGCATGTCTACAATTTTGATTCAGCAAGTCTTCATACCACTGACACAGGTTGACCATCTGACTGACTTTGTTTTTGAAGTATATTTTACATATACTGTACAGCTAAATGGATTTTTATATGTCCATTGTAAATGGATTTGTATGTGTCCATGTTAGCACAACCCAGATCAAGATATAAAGCTTTTTAATCACCCCAGGTAGCATTTCTCAACAGGGGTTGCTCAATAGGATTAAGTCCTGATGCCCTACAGCATTCATTGTATGTGATGAATTAACTTCTTATGCGTTTATAATAGGAGAACTGAGAAAGGAGTCACATACATGATTTTCCATGTTATGTGGTTCAGAAGAGAGAACTCTGGGGAAGCAAGGCTGATTCAGAGAGGTCCTTCACAGCCCTAATTTGACCAACGTGTAATTCATAGTTACTTCATGGGATTCATTAGGTTCAACTGTGAAATTATAAATGTCCACTTTTAAGGAGCTCTTAGGCTAGTTCTGGCTCCCATAGTTCACAGTCTTCGTCCAGAGCATGAATCCATAGAGTTAAAGGCTCAGATGCAGCTTATTAATGCAGGGTCCAAAATGGACTAGGCAAAAATATGGGCCAGGTTCCATTACTTCACAGATCATAATAGGAAGAAATTCAAGAAACTGGAGTCAAAGCCATTCTTGGAACCATATGAGAAACTTGATTATGGTTTCCATTTCAAATACTCATAAATTGAAATCAATATTCTCATATTTGGACAGAATTGATGTATAATAAACATTGATAGATTATATTTTGACAAATATCTTAAATAATATTAAAGCAAACATGGAATTATCATAAAACTGCAGTTCTGTGTGACATCCCAGGTATTGAAGTTACTCACATGGCGTCCTGGAAAATACTTTAATGTACTTGTCAGTGGGGAACCTTGGGTTATTATCTGAGCCCTCAGCATCTGTTTTGTTTGTTTGTTTGTTTGTTTCTTTGGCAGTATTTCCCATTTGATGAGAAATAGCATTTTTTCTTAAATGAAAATATCTGTAATTTAATTTGAAATCAGCTATTTGCGATTTAATAGGTTCTCCCTTATTAAAAAAAGAAATGTATAAAGTGAAGAAATGTATAAATGCAAAAAGCACAGACATCTATTAAGAAGTAAAGGAAAAAGTCCTCTTTATTCCATGATCAAGATGATCATTATGACCATTTTGGTGAATTTCCTTACAGTTATTTCTATGTATTTTAAAAACCATGATTCCGATGAGATTGCATAAATCAACGTAAATTCTGCCTTTTCACCTAGCATTGTTGTAATTTTTCCCTCATTTAAGACTTTTGGAAAACATCATTTAAAAAAGCATATTATGGATATTTTCCATTTTATTCACTATACATATTTATAGCTCTATGCATCTACAATGAAGCTTATGTTTAAAATTTTTAAAATTTACCCTTAGGTCCAGGAGGCCCAGGAAATCCAATTCCTGGAATTCCTGGTTCACCATCAGGCCCAGGAAAACCAGGATCACCACATTTTCCTATGGGTCCAGGGATACCTTAAAAACACACGGACACAAACATCCTCATTAGCAACTTTCTTTCATCTTGTTTTAAACGAAAATGTCTAAATTCTTTGTGTCATCTCAGCCCTTTTTGAAAAATTAAAAAATAATTTTAATATAACCCCAATTCTATACCCTTCCTCCCCACCTCTATTCATTGGACATCATTTACGAGCTGCAAATAATCTTTAAAATATAATTTAATTCCTAAAAAGAAATATTCTCGATATCTTGAACTATATAAGTCCCCTTCCATGCATGCAAAATTAAGTTTTAGATCACACTGGCAAGGAAATTAAGTTTTTAAGTGAAGATGCTATGGAAAATATCCTGATTAACCACCAGCAAACATGCCTTGTTCACCCATGAAAAATCCATGAAGATTGTCCTGCTCTAGAACTCCTCTTAAGTAATTGCATCAGTTCTCCTTTGGAACTTTTACATCAGAAGTACCAGTGGGAATAATTTAGATAACCTCAAAGGTCAATATCAACTCCCCTGCCTGCTTGCTGTTGGCCTGTGCTCTCTTGGGAGCCAACAAAAATATTTTTTCCTTAAAATGGGACAGTATTTTTCCAGGAGAGTCAGGGTGCTGTCAGATGCCATGCACCAGACTTGACCAAGGTGATACTCACCAGGTGGACCTTGGGGGCCAGCACGGCCAGGGGGCCCTGGAGGTCCTGGGGGGCCTGGAACTGGTATTGTTACACTGGCTTCTCCCTTAGGCCCTTGAGAAAGTTTGTGATCATAAGATTAGGGTGCATATTGAAACTTTTCTTAGATGATAGGGGAAAAATATGATTATAAGGGACTTACAAACATATCCCAAGGAAAATAAAAAACAGTCTCTGCTTCCACAGGCTTCAAAACTAGCCTGAGTATGACCAGCCCATGGTAACTTTCTTGTTCAATCAAGTATTTATAAGCATCTGCTACTGGCTAAGCCTTGTTTTAATTAATAGCCCAACATGCTGGCCTATTGAAAGATAGCCTATTCCCCAAAATTGATAATATGGAATTAAACTTAAACGATAGTGAACACTGAGACTATATTTATTTATTGGGTGATTAGTTTTCACAGGAAGGCAGCATGGTATATTGAACAGAACAGTAAGTGTGGCCTGACAGACTAATTTGGGTTTGAATCTCGGCCCTGCTATTTATAAGATCCGTGAGCTTGGGCATGTTTCTTAACCTCTCTGATAAATTCCTCATCTATCATTGGGGAAATAATGAATACTAGGCAGGTAAGGATTTAAGATAATGCTCTGACCACAGTGGCCAATGTTAAAAATGTGTTAGTGATTAGTGGTGTTCGTATAGTCATATGTTTATAGAAAAAAATAGGTTTACAGTGTGTGATGGGAAAAAATTGATAATACATTTTACAATAATGGGGTCCTTCACTAAAGGTTCACATTTTGAAAGAACAGAGGAGGATTTGATGATGGATTAGAGCAGGGGGTCAATAAAGTTTTTCTATACAGGGCCAAATAGTAAATAATTTAGGCCTTGTGGTCCAGGTCATAGCTACTCAGCTGTGCCATTGTAACATGAAGGCAGCCAGGGACAATACATAAATGTATGAGTACAACTGTCTTACAATAGGCTTTTTTATGGACATCGTAATTTGAATTTCATATGATTTTCATGGATCACAAAATATTATCAAAACTTGTTTTCAATCATTTAAAAATGTAAAAACCATTCTTAGTTTATGGACCATACAAAAACAGGTGGTGGGCTGTGGCCAACCATAGTTTGCTAATCTCTGGATTAGAACAGCAGCCTCCAAAGTAAGGTGCAGAGAAAAATTAGTAAATAAATGAAATAAGCTTTACATACATGTGGGGACAGAAATTCTGCACACAGTTTGTAATGTATATGAATACTATGGAGGTGTGCACTCCAAAGTTTTATTGATGAGGGAGGCACTCTAAAAGGATTTGGAGACCACGGGTTTATTGAGTCTCACCCTTTAAAGTGATTTTAGAAGTAAAAATTGACCATGGCAGCATTATGCATTTAAAACTGTTTTTTTTTTTTAATTTTTATTTTGTCAATATACAATGTATATGATTATTATGGCCCATCACCGACACCTCCCTCCCACCTCCTAAAACTGTTGATAACATGCTGCTCTCATCTTCCACCGACCCTTAGCCACAGGTTATGGACCCGATTCCTCCTCCACCCAGAGCTATGTTCAATACAGGTAGATCTGAAAAACTACCTGGACTTTAAAATTATTATCGGACAAATTTTCTTCATTAGCTTTAGATATTTTAAAGTTTTATTTATAACCTGCCTATTTAGTTATGGATCAAAAAGAACAAATTTTCACTAACAGCAGGTCCTTGAGGCTGGGAAGAGGCTCACTTTCATAGACTTTTGCTTCCTTTTTGTTTATCATAATTGACTTTCACTCATCCCTTAAAATCTATTCATCCCTTATATTTATGTCAGGAATAGATATAGAATATCTTATGAAATTTCAGTTGAGTTGATCAGTAACAGGATAAAAATGGATTTTCTCTAACATATCCTACCTGTTCTTTCCCAGTGTCTATGAGTTGACATATTCTATTCATTAGAAGCAAGTTTCTATATGTCCATTAATTTTGAAGGAGCTTCATTAGCTCTGGGAACCACCAACCCACTCCACAGGAAAACAGGACTGGAAAGAAAACTAACCAACCGGCTTCTCCAGGTGGTCCAGGGGCTCCAGGAGCTCCTTGGGTGCCCTCTGGACCAGGCTCTCCCTGAGGTCCATAGCCGGGTGTTCCAGCTGGTCCTGCAGGTCCTGGGGGCCCGGGGGAGCCAGGATCCCCTGGAGGACCCTGGTCCCCCTTCTCACCTCTCAGGGCCTGTGACAATAGGAGCATATTTGGATAGTGCTTCTTTCTAGTTATCTTCTTACAAGTTAATCTTACCCCAAATATGAATACCACTTAGGCTGTCATTGAGAAGATCTTAAATTAAGAAGCAGTTGGCATTTGATGGGAATTATTACTAAAATTAGAGCACTGTAGGTTTTGTCCCCTTTGTAATTCAGCAACATTTCCTGAACTTGGAACTGTCTTGAGTCCCACTTGAGATATCCTGCAATGACATGTGTCCCACATAATAACCACTAAAACTAAGTTTTATATATCAGCCAACAGTTTAAATAGTTTTAAAGGTAACATTCATGCTAATGGTACATTTCTAAAATAAAAACAGTACAGCAGACCTTTATTTGTATGGTTTTCACCAGGTATTTTCATTACAAAAGAGATAATCCACCTGTTTTAGTTTTTTCTCATAAAATTAAAAAAATTCACAAACTGTAACTTCGAAAATAAGCTGTATATTTTAAAGAAGTTAAATTTGACAAAATAATCAAAGCCCCTTTTCTCCTCAACATGGGCCCCACCCAAAATAAATTTGACTGGATTTTTCATTGTTCAATGTCATCAGGTGGATAAGTGGTCTTTCTTCTTTTTTTATAATGACAGGGCATAAGATTCAACAAATCAATCATCTCCTTGATTTTCTCTCATTTACTTTCTGGAGCATGTTTACCAGAACTAATAAAGAAAAATTAGTGAAATACAAATAGGGGCATAATATGAATTCTATTAACACTAGATCAAAATAATTCTGGACACAGCCTCTCCATAAGCATAACTATCACAAAGTGAGCAGCCTCAGAGTTTGCCAAAGTGGTGTCTGAGAAATGCTGGTCCTGTAGATGCTCCCAGCCAAAAAGTTTTGTAGTCAAAAAAGTTTAGGAAAGACTGTATACCACATCTGCATATTGGGGAGTCACAATTCATACTCTAATCTTAAAGGGTCTGTAAATGAATCTATAAATTTGTTTAATACATTTTCCCAAACCTGTTTGAGGTAGAACCTTTTTTATTGGATAACACTGATCAACCCTGGGAGAAATTGGTATTTTGCAGTACAGTTTGGGCAGCGTGGCTTGCAAACTTCTCACAGATACGTTATGAGAAGTGCTCAGTCTCTCACGCTATTACATTTTAAAACAGTCCTGGTAGGTATTACCTCTCAATTGAGCATGTGATAAATTCTATTCCATGAAAAGGGATTGAATCGACATAAGCTTATGTATCTTAAATGACAAAAAACATTGATTTCTTTATTTGATTACCATACCTCTAAGTATTCTGTCCTTCTATGCATTTATTTTTACTTAAAATAGTTAACATTGCCCCCCAAATATTTGCTAAAGCTTTCCACTACCAGTCATTTTTTGAATTTTTCTATAAACTCATTTAATACAAAGAGGGAATTCCAACTTATGTATGAGACAGGGTCATTATCATTGTAGAATTTGAATTGGGCTAAATCATTGAGTGCTACCTATTTCGTCAAAATACTTCAAATATTTGTTTGGGTGATTACTGCTAGTTTGAAGATGACTTATTTGGCAGTTAGAGTGATGAACTGTGCTGAGTGGCCAACAATTTTTTGAAAGGAAATCACCTTATCTCTTAATTTCAGAGCACTTCATTTATAAGGAGGGTAATTGAACAAAGTTGATAAATACCAACCGGTTTGCCTTTAGGTCCGGGTAATCCTTTTACTCCTGGATTTCCAGGAATTCCATCCAAGCCCTTGCTCCCGGGCTGCCCTCTGAGCCCCGGATCTCCTGGGGCACCCACTTGCCCTTTAGGCTGAGATGCTTCACCTTTTCCTCCTTTAAGTCCCGGGACACCCTGAGCACCTGGGAATCCCTAGGGTGGTACAGAAATGAGTCTGCATTGCATTTTGATAGAGTTGTCCTTGTGTCAATCTTAAAAACAGTGTAACAGGACTTTTACATTTTAATGAATATATCTTTTTAATATACTTTCTTTGGCCCACAAATATCATTTTAAGCTTTTTGTTTTCCTTTGTTTTTACTTCCAAAACTGGGAAAGAATTCAGTTGGACAGTACAATACAACACATGCAATACAAACATGCAATAATATAATTCAGTACAATAAAACAATCATCATAATTCAGATTATGTTTGAATATTGGTAAATTTTAACAAGTATCTGAATAATTTGATTTAAATATATTTATCATTATATGCTTTTCTGATTCACTGTGATAATCAAGATTTTAATTTTTAAACAGATTTTTAATTTTTTTTTTTTTTGTCTTTTTTCATGTCCGGCAATGGATCGCAACCCTCAGTGTCGCCCCCGTACCGGACCGGGACCGGCAACGGGATCGCAACCCTCAGTGTTGCCCCCGCGCCTCGCTCAGCCAGTGAGCGGGAACCGGTCTGTATGTGGGATCCGAACCCTCGGCGGGAGCGCCGCTGCGCTTCCCAAGCGGCGCACTAGCACAGTGCGCCACCGGGCCGGCCCCGATTTTTAATTTTTTTTAAATTTTAATTTTTAATTGAGGTACAACTTACATACCATAAAATTTATACGTTGTAAGAGAACGATTCAATGATTTTTAGTAAATTCATAGAACTGTGTCATAATCACTACAATTGGTGTTAAAGTATTTTCATTGCTCCCCCAAAGTTGCTCAAATCCATTTGCAGTTAATCCCTGTTTCCACCCTCAGTGCCAGGCAATCACTGATCTTCTTTCTGTCTCTGATACCATTTAAAATAACTTATAAATTCATTAATTCATTCACTTATTCATTCACACATCATTCATTTATTTATTTAATCAACAAGTATCTACTATGCACCTACTGTTTGCCAGGCACCAGACTGATAACCTATGTGTGGTCCAACCATATCTCCACAGCACTCAATTTTGCAAATCAAAGCTAAAGCTTCGAAACCATGAAATCTTACTGGAAATCCTGGAGGACCTTCACTTCCTGGGGACCCTGGGCTTCCTTTCATGCCAGCTGCACCTTGTCTTCCTGCAAAGCAATGAGTAATTAACCACTCATTGAACACTGACTCTGAATAGCCAGGGTAATAGAGTGTGTGAAGAAGATAGGGTGTTTCTTATGAGGAAAGAAAGACAATTTCTACCTTAAAACATACAGTGCAATAAGAGAATGGTAGTAAATAACTGGAATAAGAGATAATGTAAAAAAACAAGAATTCTTAGATCTTAGCTTCCTAAAATTCTTGACTTTATAATTTTAAGGATATACATATTTTTATCATGAAAGTAATATATGCTCATTGTAAGAAAATTACAAAGTAAGAAGAGAATAAAAATCACTTATAAATCCACCACCAGCAAATAATGTTTGCTATGTTTTAATGCATATTATTCACAAGTTTTTATATCCATAAATGCATAGGACTCATGTACATGCTATTTTGGAATCAAATATACATATGTCAGTAAGTGAAGATTTATAGCTTTATGTTAAATGGCTGCCTAAGAGCCTATTAAGTGAGTAACTCAGCATTTATTTAGTTAACTGATGTTTTTAGACATTTGGGCTGTTTATCAACTTTTAGCTGTTGTAAACAATGCCACAATAAATATCTCTAATATCTCTGGATATTTATTTCTCCAAATTTACCCAATTGTTTTCTTTATAATAAATTCTTAAAAGTGTAGCTACAGGACACAAACTTTTCTGAGACTTTGGATATCTGTTGCCAAATGCATTTTACTATACAATTTTATATTTCCCATATTTAAATATCTCTGTAAAGATAATCCCTTTAGAAAATCTTTTGGATGGGTCTCAGGTCAGTTAGTCAACAAATATTGATTCAGATTCTATTTTTTGCAAGATATTGAGGCAGGATACACTTTTTTCTATAGTAATCCAAACAGTTTTACTGCTTACATACCTTTTTTATGCCAAATGTGGAGAAACTAAGGAAAATACAATAATGCAACTAGTCAGTCAGCATCTGTGAGCCGCCAGCTGCTCACCTTGGGCCAGAGATGAGACAGAAGGAGAAAGTAGGAAAATAACGATTTCTTATTTTTCTCCTTCTTTCCCTCCCTTTTAGTTTTTGTTTTGATAGAACACTTCCCCCTGAGACTTGGGAACTGACTAGGAGCTACCTGAGGAATAGCTCCTGTCTCTCCTCCTTCCAGCTCAGCTCTCTCAGGGAGTCAGGGAAGTAAGCGGCTGCAAAGGGGCTGAGGCCTTTATGGAACAGAGGTGGGTTGCATCTGAGGGTGACAAAGGATCCCTGCCCAAGCACGTTCCCTCCATGGGCTGGCCATGGTGCCCACAGCTACTACCATTAGCTTTTCTTCTTTGGGCTGAGACCCAGCCTCCCAGAAGACTCTGTGCCAATGCAAATGTCTGCTGGACGGTGATAACACAGAACATTCCCCATCCAGGTTGCCAAGTGTTGGGGTGAAGAGCGCTGGTCTGGAGCAGAGGTTAGCAGGAGAAGTCCTATGAATCATGCTTTATTTAGTTCTCAGAACATTAGACTATGATATGTTTTCTTCCTTCAAAAATTGATTTAGTGGCTAATATTTCTTTAAAAATGTGATTTCGGAGAAAAATCATGATTTCTTTCTACTCATGAAAAATAGGAAGATTTATTAACAAAGGGCCTAACATGCTGCAAAGTAACAGTAGTGCCTGATAGCCCATTTAAATGTGCCCTTCGGTTTACCACAGTCCTCACCACTCTCTACTGTCCCCGGCACCAAGAATGCTGTAATTCCTTATTGCACTTGTATCCTTCAGAAAAAAGTGAAATGCTGCATATGCCTGTGTCTCTGTCAAAAATGAGAACATGAGGGAGTGGACTGAGCTGGCTGGTTAGCTCAGTTGATTAGAGTGAGGTGCTGATAACACCAAAGTGCAGGGTTCAATTCCTGTACCAAGTGGCCGCCAAAAGAAAAGATAAAAGAAAAAATGGACTGAGAAGGGTCTCATCTTTCAAGAAAAAGTGGGAGAAAGCTTATTTGTTTATGTAAGAAAAATGTGGTGTGTGTTTAGTATGGTTGCTTCACTCTTTTAAGCCACCTGCTGGTCCCCTGTAGGAATCTGTGCCTACAATTCCTGGCTAACACAATACTTTGTTAGAGTCAGCAATTCAAACGGAACAGGGAAAAATACCAGAGTATATGCGATTTTGTCTGACTTTATGTTAACAAACAGAGTATATGTTTTTGAAACTCTCCCTCCAAGTTCATGTAAACCACATCATGACATCAGGCAATCTAATACATTTTTTTTATCTCTCAGTGTGTTGACCCTTTATGCTTGCAAAAACACTTGCATGCAAATTGTCTGTACCTGAGATTCCTTTTACACCATCTAACCCCGGCAATCCTGGGAGACCGGGGAGCCCTGGGGTACAAGGGCACTGTGTGCACAGGGGACCCGGTTCTCCTGCAATAAGAGCACACTTGCATTACTTACAAGCCCACACTGAATCCCCAGAAGGGACAGATATTTCCCAACCACACGATCATTTACTACATTTAAACATTTTTTTTTGTGCAGTGAAATCATCTAGGACATTGTACATATTAACTAAAAAACATTCATCTATTATATCTGCTTACTTTATCTTTCTGAGCTGTACAGTTCTGAGAGAGGAAACTCCAAGAGTCTAACGTAAGACATCTACTATTTCAGTGTTTCTCTCCTTCCACACAGGATAAAATTCACATTCCAGGGATATCCAACAATTTATTGCATAGATGCTAAATAAATCATTGATTTACAGATAAATGAATACTTTTAGCAATTTTTTTTTTGAAAAGGAAGCCATCCCTAACTGTCTGCTATTTGGGATCATTATTGTCTCAGGGGGAAAAAAATCAGACATGATAATGATGATGAGATTGAACCAACCTTTGGGCCCATCAAGTCCTGGGATTCCTGGAGACCCTAAATAGCCTGGCAGTCCGCGATCACCAGGTGGACCCTTGCGAAAAACAACATCTCCTGTAGAAAGACAACACCAAAAACAATGTTTTATTTGTGCTTTTTTTCCAAACAGCAAATGTAATATATGTATTATTTTACATGCATTTCTTCCATATTTGTATTGGAAACTGTCTTTAGAAGTTTCTCTCAGCTGAAAAGCCTTGTGTGTTTATCAGCTCTTCTCCTCACATTACATGGATATGTTATATTTTGATACCAGTGTTGTTGTTCTTTGTAAGCTCATTAGGTGATATTTTTGCAACGTAATCAACCCAAATTGTCTTATTTAGTTGTTTCCAATTATTCCAAGACTATCCCTTTAGCATCTTGAGGCAAAGGATTGAATCTCATTCTTCTGTGTATCTTAGATACATTGTATTTTCCTATTATATTATAGGTATCCAATACATACCAAGTCAAAAAAAAAAAAAAATGGATCTGACTCATTGTTTGTCCACATCAGTTGAGTCTGCCACTCTTCATGAAACCTGTGCCTGTTTTCTGCATACACCTGCTACTATAATGTTACAATGAATGATCATTCTCAAACTCGTAACGTGTGTTCTGTAATCTAATTTTTGATTGCTATTTCAAATATAGGTTGAAGGCAACAATGATGAAATTAAATAAAAATAGCTGCCCCAAATTGCAGAGCAACAAGGAAACAGTAGAAATATTTAATTTAATTGGATTATAGTATGAATCATATTGTTTGCTTGACTATGAAAAAAAAATAGCAATTTCATGATCTAGTTTTCTGCATACCTAGTCATCTCCAAATAATACAGTATGATGTTAGTTTTATCCTGAATGCAGATTTATCTGTATACTTATAAATTTATACATTTATATATATTTATACGTTTTCCTACTCATTTCCTACTGAATCCAACCAATAATTTGAGTACCTACAATATTCCGGCTTTCATGCTACATATGGGGCTTAAAACAGTAAACAAATCACAGTCCCTGACCTCAAAGAGTTCTGCAAGGGAGACTGCCAAACACAAAGCATAGTGGCAATGTGAAAATTTTTACATTGGGATAAGCTTGGGTGTTATAGGACGTGGAGTCTGTGAAAGCTTTCTGCGGGACTTAAACTTGAAGCTGCAACCTGAAAAACAGACAGGTGTTGCTTAAAGAAGAGAAGGTAGAAAAACACAGGAAACAAAGGCCTCTGGATAGAGTGCAGCTGGCCCAGCCTCCTGGGGGGGCGGTGTTGGCATCTTGGAGGAGGAAGTTACTCTATTGCAGGTCCTGGGCTTTCCCATTAATTAGCTACATGAGCACTGCACATCAGTGCTGCCACTGATAATACTAGGATACTAAACCTACACCTTGTAAGAGACTTGGGAGATTAGAAATTGTTAAAATCCCTGAAACATAGTAAAGAGGTTTAGTTTAGCTTAGTTTTGCTTTGTTTTCTGCATGGGTCCACACCATAGCTTGACAGATCTGTTCTTGGATGTGGTATCTTTTTTTTTTTTTTTTTTAAATGACCGGTAAGGGGATTTTAACCCTTGACTTGGTGTTGTCAGCTCATCCAGTGAGCTAACCGGTCATCCCTATATGGGATCTGAACCTATGGCCTTGGTGTTATCAGCACCACACTCTCCCTAGTGAGCCACGGGCTGGCCCGGATGTGGTATCTTTTTATTAATGGGATAATTTCTTAAATTGTTGTTGGCATAAAGGAAAGCTTTTTTTTTTTAATATTGTTCAAATAAACAGACACTTGACTGAATTATCTTATTAATAATAAGAGCATTCCAGATTATTCTTTTGGATTTTCTATGTTTATGATCATATTGTCTATAAATAATGAATGTCTATTTCTTTCTTAAAAAAAAAATCTCAGACACAGAACATTCTTAAGTCTCTTAGGAGGGTAGAATATAAGACACAGGACTTCCCAGGCACCACTCAGGAAAGGTGTACAAATCGTGATCTGTATGCTCCTGAGGATCTACTGCTCCTGTGAGTCAACACAGGCTGCTAAGTGGCTCTGCCGGGAGATGGGAAGGAAAGGACGCCTGTGTCAGACCCTCTGAGCACCACTTTGAATGCTTTCGGTCACAGCTCTGTGGTCTCTGACCCATGCACCTGGCAGCATTTTACCTCCTATCCATGCTGCACTCCTGTGGCCTCCTCCCCTGGGGCTTCCCTGCTGATGCCAAGGCTCGGGATGCCCTGGGAACTATGCAAACACAGCCTGGAAGAGCGTGTGTGTGTGGGGGGTGATCCTGTCCTGTGGGGCAAATCTTTGACCCAAGGGAAATAGGAGCTCGTGGATACATTCTTGCCTCTTTCTCCCCTGGGACAGATTATCCTGAGACAGGCTTCTTGGAAGATCCTCTCCAGGGGCTGAACAAGTGGTTGCACTTGGCCACCTTGATAACCACCTCTCCCTCCCTGCCTCACTCTCCTGTCCCCACCTGCCCCTCTGCCTTCTGAGGAACCTGGGCCAAGGCTTTGCTGCGTTTGCACGGTAGTCATTGCATCTTAGTTTCTTATACCGAGAGCTAGTAAAAGGAATGTCTTTGTAAAGATAACAACTAAAAACAAGCCGACTGATGGCAAGCTGTGAATAAAGTTGATTTTGCTCCTAATATGCACACATCTGTCATTAGGCAATGTACAAAAAAGCAGCCCCATTAGGTTTCTTTACCTGGTGGTCCTGGAGGTCCTGGTGACCCTGTAGGTCCTGGTGGACCAGGACAACCTGGGGATCCAGGAGGGCCCACTGCATCCTTTCCTGGGGGTCCTCGTTCCCCTTTGCTTCCTTTCAAGCCCGGCCATCCAGAGCTTCCTCTGAGGCCAGGCCTTGATGATCCTTGAAGAAAATAATCATTTATTATATTTTAAATGTTTTCCTGATAAATATATATATATATATATTTTCAATTGCAAAAAAATGATACATTCTTATTTATAAAAGTTGCAAAATTGAGAGGTATATAAAACATAAATGAAAAGTAGATATCCTTGCTTCCTTCATCTGTGTCCTTGTTAATCATAGGACAGCAAAGCACAGAACATTCCGTTCCCATGAGATACTTAATGTAATGTATTACAAGGAACTGAAACAGTTTGGGACGTGCTGCAGTCTTTATTTAAAAGGCCTTGTGAGAAGTTCTTTCACACATGCTATTTTGTACATTTTTTTACTAGAGACTAAGGATGCCTACCTTTCAGTGCCCCAGTTGAGAGGGAAAGTTGTAACTGGACTCTGTTCCTGCCAATTGTCTTAGGTATAAAAGAGGATAGTGAGGCAGGCATCTCCTGGGAGAGAAGCCATGCCAGGTGGTACAAAACCCATCCTAATCCTACAACAGGGGGTAGTCTAAAAGTAGACAAAAGTGGGGAGGAGGCAGTCTCGAATCTCTGCCATGCAAATGGTGTAACAATTAAGAGGAGAGATGTCACCACCAAAGGGCTGAGAAACCAGCAAGGGTAATATCTGATTATTTCTTCCTATTTCAGCATGAAGGCAAATCCTTATGATTGACATCTGTTTCAAAGCTTTGTAATTTTCCAATTGCCAGCTTCTTAAAGGAGCCGTCATTACTTAGGGGCCAGGCGGGGAGAAGTAAGCCCTCCTGAATCTTTGGCCAGACCTCTAAAATTCCTTTTTGCCCCATTCCAAATTCAAGATATTCACTGTTAACAACCTGATATATATTTTTGCATGCATATACAGGTACATATAATATTTGTCAATTTCTGTATCTATTTTTTTCAGTGGGATTATAGTATATGTATAGTTCTGCAATCTGCTTAATTTTAATTCTTTTTCAAAATTATGAAATCGTTTAATGTTGTTTTCTATTTCTGTGCCTCCTCTGAGTTTCAAGGCCCCTGCTCTTACCCCAAAGCTACTGCGAAACTCCCCTAACAATAAGGCTTCTTAACACTTAGTTAAGACCCCTGAAAAGTAAAAAAGAGCATTTCTATATCACTTTGTATCAGTTTCTGCTCCCTTTTCCATTGTAGGTCAACAAAGGTAACAATCAAGAAACTGGGAACAGTTTTAGATCATTTAATGAAACATTTGTCTTATGCAAATAACACAATCTTACGTTTCCTTTTTAATAGTATTTCTATTTGTGCTGCCAAGAAACGTGGACATACCAGGACTTCCAGGAACTCCAGGGGGACCACTAGGACCTAGGAATATACAACATTAATTAAGTGCTTACAAAGATATAAATGCTCCTTTCTCCATTTTTCAAATCTTGGGTGACAAAATAATAAACATTAATAATAAAGAGTTTTCATGCTTTTTTCCCACTCTCACATAGATAAATATTAGATAACTTCACTTATTTAGACAAACAGCAGAGAGAAAACTAATCTTAGATGTCTAACACTAGAAAGTAAATCATGCCACTTTATCATTTTCAAATAATTCAGAAGAGATTTTCTAAGCATATGCACTGTGTATGGCTTTTCTTGGGAGTTCAGATGTAAGAAAATCAAACAATGCTGGAATCGTCAAGGATCTGCAGTTTGGCCTGGTGTTCCATCTTAGATCTCTTCCAGCTGTAACATTACATGGGTTTTAATTCTTCAAAAAGGGGTCTTCAACCGGTTCCCGCTCACTGGCTGAGCGAGGTGTGGGTGCAGCACCGAGGGTTGCGATCCCGTTGCCGGTCCCGGTCCGGTGCGGGCGCGACACTGAGGGTTGCGATCCGTTGCCGGACACGAAAAAAGACAAAAAAAAGGGGGTCTTCAAAAAGTTCGTGGAAATATTTGCATTCCCTTTTAATTTTATTTTTCCACAAACATTTTGAAGTATATATATGGGTGATTTATAGTAAATATACCAGATTTTTTTAAAAAAAATCTATGTCTATATTTGCAATTTATTTAAATAACCTGGGAAGTTTTACTCTTTTGAACAATTGACCTCTGGATCAAGAGCCCAGAAAGCTTCCATGGTGCCACTCTGTTACCTAAAAGTTTACTCTTTTAAGTTAAAATTCTCCTTTGAAATCTCGTTTATATCAGTAATTTGCCTAGATCAGCGGTTCTCAATCCTGGCTGCATGGTAGAATAATCTGGGGAGCAAAAGCCATCTACTAGTGCCCAGGGCTCTCTACCCGGCAATGACGTCAGAATCCCAGGGATGGGACCTTAACAAGGTCATTATTTAGAGGTTTCCAGGGATTCTAATATGTAGCCAGAGATGCGAGCTAATGGTGGAGAACTTTTGGATCTTTCAAAACTGATATAATCTATAAGTAAATGTGACATTAATTCATCGCACTGAGGGCAGATAATTGTTCCAGGAGTGAGAAAACCAGGGTGTTAGTTCCCCCTTGTCACGATTTGTTCGGATTTGCTCAAGTTACAGCTTTTTGGGGTCTGCATTTTCTCTTCTGTAATCTCACTGAGATCGTACACATCTTACACTCCCTCCTCCTGCCCTCTGGCCATGTTGGCGTCTTCTTGCTAGCCTTGAACATCATGCTTTGCTACATAAAGATAATTTAATGACCTTCTATGGTATACGACTTATGAAATTTTTATATGAAAATATAAAAATGAGGAGACACCAACAAACACCACCACCTATGAACATTAGGAGACCTCATCTTCCCTCCACCCCCAAATCCCAGGTCTGTATGCACACACTATTAATTACCTTGAAAGAAAGACAGAAGCATGATTAGCAAATGCTTTAGGAAGAAACCTATTCTCACCCTGTGGGCCGCGAGCTCCTTTGGGCCCTGGAGGGCCTGGAATTCCTTTATCTCCCTTTTCCGGGTGTGCATCGTAATATTCTGTCTTAAGGAGAAAGAGATGAATAAAGAGGAAGGACACCTGTTCATGCAGCTCCTCAAATGCAGTTACTTCAATTTCTTCACTTTGGCCAAAAAGATACTTTCCTTATCTTCCTGAATTCACTGGTTTATACGTTAGTAGGGATGCATGAGTCACATATATGTATATATAGATGGGTAAATTTAAAGGTAAGGTTGACCTTTCTGATATCATTATATCATGTATTTCATGGGCTATCAATTAGAAATACATTTTATGATGTGACCCAGCTCACACCCACATTTATATACACACACACACATTTATACATACACATATCTATGTATGTGTGTGTATATGTATGCAGAAATTAAAGTTTCACAAAATAGTGATTTACCATTACAACATACGATCAACTCTGATACTTTTTATTCTAGTCTACTTCACTTTTCTAAAACGCTGGTCCTGAGAGACTAAATGTATTTTTAAGTATGGTGAGATCCACACACCAAAAAATACTACATATATTGTTTCTTTAAATTCCAGGGCACAATCGGCCTGTAAGATGGAGCAATATTGTTTCTGACATGCTCGGTGGACCTACTGGTGGTCTCCTTGACCATTTCCTTCCTAAGCAGAACTCCTTTTGAAGTTAGTGGAAGCTGCAAACAGAGTTGTATGGAATTGAACATAAGAAAACACTCAGTAAGTTAGGAATTATAAGAATTCCTCTAGGGGCCGGCCCGGTGGCGCACTGCGCTAGTGCGCCGCTTGGGAAGCGCGACGACGCTCCCACCGAGGGTTCGGATCACACATACAGACCGGTTCCTGCTCACTGGCTGAGCGAGGTGCGGGGGCAACACCGAGGGTTGCAATCCCGTTGCCGGTCCTGGTCCGGTACGGGGGCGACACTGAGGGTTGCGATCCGTTGCCGGACACGGAAAAAGACAAAAAAAAAAAAAAAAAAAAAAAAAA